TCCCACGGCAAACTGACTGTGCAGAACCTTCAGCTACTACTGCATATAAAACATTCAAATTAACAACATACCAATATAATGACTGCTGATACTAACATGGACCTCTTACCTTCAGATTAGCCACTCATGCAGATAGCCATTAACAGCCTTGTATAAATGGATGTACACATACCAAAATGATAAACCCACTTAAGGAATGGATTATAGCTCTTAGCCTTTAATCAAACATTGGGTAAGGCTGAGAGAGGAAGAAGCTGTTCAGTCATTACAGAGTTCTGTAGGAAGTATTTTCTTTCACTGGTTTCCCTTCACATCTGCTATAAAATTATTATGTACTTGACCTACACATTTTCAACACATCTGATCAAATGTTAATTTTATATTTAAACCCACTACAAAGATAAACCCACTAAAAAGTTTTGTAAATACACCTATTTAATCTCCTGGGCTTTAGTTCAAATTCGGCTTGGGTTAGAAACGCAGAAGACAAATGTCAATTTCAAAAGCATGAAGCATGGCTGCAAAAAGATTATAAATAAGGCAAGGAATAGAGGAACAACTTTTACCCAAATATCTGAATAGATTTGAAAGAATGTTATAACTGCATTTTCTCACACAGTATGTTGAAGTTTTATCTTAGCACTCAAACACTAGCAAAGGACTGTATAAATGTAAACCAATACCAATAGGATGGATTCCATGAAGGACGCCATTATCTGCATATCTCTGTTGAATAAGTTTTAATGACAGAAAACAGTTTCAGCTTTGCAGTAATGGTAGATAAAGACTCCAAATCTGTAATATAAGTACATCCTTCCTAAAAATTTCCTGGTCAACATATTAATTAAAAAAAAAAACAAAACTAAAACAAAATGAACAAACAACAACAAAAAAACCCAAACCAAACAAACAAAAAAAAAAAACAACTCAAAACACCAAGCAAAAAAACACTAACTCAACAAAGGAAGAGAGAAAGCAGCAAAACACTAACTCAACAAAGGAAGAGAGAAAGCAGTTTGCAAAAAATTATCTGCCTCCTGCCCAAAAACAACACACTTTAGGAAAAAGACTTCGAAAGGAGCCTCTTCCTCTACAAAGACCATTTACTGGATTTTGACCTATATAATCCCCAGAACACATGGCTTCAAAATTTTGAAAATTGACAAAGCTTCTCCATTGCACCTTTTTGGTCAAAAGATGTTAATTCAACTGAAGACAACCACTAGACAGTTCACATACCTTCAGCATTTACATCCTCATTTAAAATTCTCCACTAGAAGATTAACCACAGGCAACTTCATTAAAGAATTCTCAAACGACCCCATAAAAATCAATCTTTAGTCTACTCTGCAAAGCAGTATAGTTTAGGCAGGATTTGGTCCTATCTGTTCATTACTAAAAGTTTCTTCTTATTACAAGATTTTATGAACTAGTAGAATTTTTTGCTAAGCATGTAAACAACATGTCAATTTTCAGCTGCAAACCACATATTTCCAGAAATCCAGATTGAAAAAGTACTTTTAACCTTGCCTTCCCATACAGTTATATATACAGGTCAATTTAAACCAAGAGTCCAATTCAGAAAAAAATACAGCTACAAATATCCAAATATAGATCCCTAAGTATTTCTTTAAAAAAAGTTCCAAAGATTCCTTGGGAAAACTTGGATGAATATAGTATTAAGTGTTTTAGTAAAAAGAGTAAAGGAAAAAAGCAAGCATAGGTTAAATGACCAACTAAAAGTATCCATTAAATCCACAGTCACTGGTTAACGACCTGTGTTCAACACAGCTAATCTTACACCCTGATTTTACAGCTTTTTTTTCAACTGAACTTTCTCTTGGCAGTGATCCTATAATTTAGATACTAAACACCTCTCTGAGACTAGAGAACGTCATTTCATTAAATACATTAAATGGTAGAATGGCAGCTGGGTGAACATGTGCTTTCTCACATGCCCTCAAACGACGAGAGGGAAGGATGAGTTCTCCTGGTCCCAGAGTTGTCCTTCCCATCTCCAGTCCTGAATTCACAGGGCAATGGAAAACTACAAGTGCAGCAAATTTAAGCAACAGCAGTAACTAAATGGCGATTAAAGCAAGGTAACAAATGCACATACATCTCAAAGAGGGGCCATGATGAGCTGCACTCCATAAAACACCCCATTTTTACATCCTGGAAGCTGCAATATTTCTCAAGACTTTTCTTAAGGACATGGTAAGGCTAAAAGTGGCTATGACCTCTTCCTGCCTCAGATCACCATACAGAACACTTTCACTCACAAAAGTATTTTTATTTTCAAGTTTTTTTGCCAATATTTTCTACCTAGTAATTTTTTGAGCAACTGTGGGTCACAGTGTATCGTCCTTTCTAGTATTAACCAGTAAGATGCAAGTCTGTTATCCCAGATGCAAAAAGATACTGAAGCTTTTCTTCCCTCTTCCTACCTGTAGGAGACTTACAGGTTTAATAACATCTAATCATGTTTCATCAGAAACTCCTCAGTATTAAGTAAGACGAAAAAGAAAAAACTGTAGATGTTTTTGTAAAACTTCATTTTTGCCAAACATGAAACAAACAAAAGATTTATGCCAGGACACTTTCAGATTCCTGGGAAAAATTGGACAATAAAAACTAAGAAGTAAAAAGTTTCCCATTATAATGAAAAAACAAACAGTAGTCTTGGGCAGAAATGTTACATAACAGCAGGACTGAGTCCTGTGCTCTAACACTCTTGCTCAAAAGCATAGTTAAGAAATCTTATCCCGCTGTGCAGTCACAGGTAAGAAATAAATTATTACTCTTTTAACCACATCTACTACATTGGCAATCATTCATGACATCCATACTTTACCACATCCCTCTGCCCAGAAAACAAACCCCTCTTTCATATGAGACTGATATATCTTCTCCTGACTCAGATCTCCATGAAAACATCCTGCAGAGTGCCTTAATACTGCTTGCAGTTTGGTCTACAACCTAGCAGATTCTCTTACTGCAAAGTAAAGTCTTGAGTCAATTTGATTCTCAAACATTTCTTTCACAGATTACCAGATTAGAGATGTCCTTCTCTCAGGATTCTCCTCCTTTCAACAGTTTTTTCCCCCTGGTGCTATTTAAAACTGCTGGAGCCCATTCTATTAACAAGTTCTTCTTGTTACAAGTTCTTCCCATAACTTGTCTTCCCTGTAACCCTGTGCTGACCAGGTAATTCTTATTCTCAAGAAATTATAAGCATGTGTCATCTTTTCTTTAAAATAAGCTTCCACTGTTGAAAAAAAGCTGTATCTTACCCTCTCAAGTACTATCTGCAGACACTCTGACAGTAGGGGAATTCCTATTCCTGCCACTGCCATTTACTGCATGCATAGAAGTAATTAACAATGTAAAAATCAGTTTATTATCATTGATACTTCCCTCTATATCACTTCATAATAACTCCAGATAAATGTTTGTCAATGAAGCTACCTTTAATTGCATAGGTTTAGTGCTTCAGACAATAGGAAATTAATACTCATTCAGGAACCCCTACACACTAATTTAAAAAAGAAGAGCCCTCTGTCAATATAGGTGTACGAAAGGACTTCAAGGTATAAAGCTTGCAAGCCCAGGTTCAAGAAAATAATGGTAAAAATCTGTGCTTTTTTTTCCCTAAGATAGCTAATTTACTAGTGTTTAACAATGCCATGAGCTTCTGTGAACGAAAAGGAATACTGCACATTCACTACTTGGAAATATTATCACTAAGTGGAGCGTTAAGAACCTATATTTAGCATTGATTTATCTAGATATCCTTGGCTGGCAGGTTTCAGGAACTTCAAACTTACATTTTCTTACCTAGCTCAGTAACTTGTCGATCAAAAGGACAACGAACTGCTCTGCCATGAAGGGGAAGCCGGGTGAGACAGTCATGGCAGACAGTATGGCCACACAAAAGCAGCCGGGGAACTTTGTCACCTTGCAGAGAAAATACATCTTCACAGACTCCACACTCAAGAACCTGTAAGTTAAAAAAGACCATATTTGGTTTTGAGCCGATTAAAAAGCAAAACTTCATGCAGTAAGCCATATATCATAGTTCATTTTACAAAAGTTCATGCAACCACAGCATATAAGACGAGTCAGGTAATTAATTTTGCTTTTTGCACACAACTAACGATATTTTTAAAGTAAATAAATACTTAGACACAAGCAGAACGTTTTAACTCCTCAGCATCCCATCTGATGACCTGACTGACTACTTCTTGCCCACTTCATTAAATGCACTGCCCCAAGGAAAGCCGTCTTGTCAAGCAGCACAACTAAGTAAGGAGAAACACCCTCGCAGCAACACGAAGCGGAGGACAAGACCCTGATAAAGCGGAGTGCTGGCCGGCGGAGAGCTTCCCTAAGCAGCTGGTGCACATAAAAAGGTCAGTCACACCAAGTTAGATACTTATGGAAGCTATAAACGCAGCACCAAAGCAACGGGAACAAACAGCTGAGGGCCTGAACATCTTAAACCGCTAGTGAAAAGGAAAACTGATGATCATTTAGGAAAAAAAAAAAAACGGAAACCGGATAACCCCTAAGCCCCGCCGCCCCAGGGGACGCCTCCTGCACCACAGATGCCTCGCTCCCCCTCCCCGGCCGGCAGCGCCCGTCCCGCCGCAGGAGCCGAGCCAAGCTCAGCCACCGCCTCACCTTCACCGCAGCACCCGCCGGGCCGCGCCCGCCGCCACCGCCAGGCCCGCGGCCGCCGTCCGGCCCGGCCCCGGTGCCAGGCCTGTTTACAGTGAGGGCCGCCATCTCGGGGAGGGCGGAGCGGCGGGTCCCCACAGGAAGGGGCAGGAGCCGCCTCAGGCAGGAGCCGCCTCAGGCACCGCCCCGCAGAACTACAGAACTACGGCTCCCGTGGTGCCGCCCGTGCCGGCGGGCCGAGGACGAGGCGGGGCGGCCCCGGGCCTCCTGCGAGCCCTGGGCGCTGTAGTCCCGCCCGCCGCGCTGCAGCCTGGGACGGCCACCGCGGCCAGCCTGGCTCCGCCCTGCTCTCCCGGCCACAGCGCGGGGTGGAGGCCATGGACGTCAACCAGTCCAAGCAGGAGCACTTGCTGGCTCTGAAAGGTAATGATAGCGCGGCCCCGCCGGCGGCCGCCCGACCCTGCTGCGGTGGTGAAACAGCGTGTTCGATCCGCAGCCGAGTGTGTTTCTCCCCTCCGTCTCAGGTGGAGGTGGATCAGGGGGCGGCCCGGCGCTGGGGCCTGTGGCGGGTGGTGCCCCAGGGCGCAAGGAGGCGGCGGGGGCTACTCTAAAATGCCCCGCACACGGGTGTGCATCTGGCATGGTGGGGCTGCTCGGCGTGTCCGTGCTTAGCACAAGGCTTCGGTTGTGAGAAAATGTTTAGTTAAAATTTCCTTTTCAATTACCCTGCTCCCTCTTTTGTTTGTTTTTCCGGACGAATGGACGTAGTCTTGAACTATGTCGGGGAGGTTTTAGGCTGGGCGTTAGGAGGGATTTCTTCACAGAAAGGGGGATTAGATATTGTGATGGGCTGACCAGAGGGATGATGGAGTCTCTGCCCTGGAGATGTTTGAGGAAAGGCTTGGACGTGGCACTGGGTACCATGCTCCGGTTGACATGGTAGTGTTCAGTCATAGGTTGGACTCCATGAACTCAGAGGTTTTTTCGAACCCAGTTGATTCTCTGATTCCTCTTTGAGTGGATTTTGCCCTTTTCACCTTGTGCTGTATGCATAGCTGCCAGGCTTACTTCCTTGATTCGAGGATCACGAGTAGTGAAAATAAAATCGTGTATGTCTCTTACATGCCTTGCAAAATTCATACAAGAGAGCCCTCTGAAGTTTTTGATGATTTCTGAATAATAAATGCTGCTAGTTATGTCGGTGCAGTAAACAGTTGGTTGCAATCTCAATTCTGCAAGCAGTCAGGATCAGTGAGGGTGCCCAGCTGGATAAAGTAGTGCAGGTGTGGGGCTGATTTCAGAGCCCATCTTTTAGTTTTAAAACATTCCTGGACAGAGTTTTTAATGGTGTCTGCATGTCATAGTAAAATCTGTTAACCATAATTCAAAGCGCAACAAGCCCTTTTCGAATATGTGTATGTATATACACACAGAACAAAGTCAAAACCTCGAAAACGTGAAACACCATCAGCTGACAATACAAATGGATATTGATAGTAACTAATTCAAAGCAAAAAGTTTTATGATGGGTCATTTTACTTTCATAAGAAACCAGTGCAGTCCTTGGGCTTGTATTGAATTTGGTGCAGTGTCCAGGCTGTAGATTTTGCAAAAAGAAGTGGGAAAGATGTGAGGGCTTCTTTGCATTGTGACTATGTTAAAGAGAATTTTAACAGTGCAATGATTAGGAAATCCTTGATTTTATTATTTTAGTATCATTTTATATTACTGATCAGGGAACCTGAAATGATTGCAAACTTCTTAGAGGGTGGGAAAACAGGACAGCAATAGAGTGCATCTTATATTTACGTTTCATAGCAGTGTTTGTAGTTTTCCCTTCACCATGCTTCTGCATTTAATGTATTCTTTTAATGGAAGTATAAAGCCTTTGAGTACTTAATGAGTTTTTTAGTTATTCTAAAAGTCTAATATATGGAGTTATCAGTCCCTTGAATTAAGGTTGCATGTATTGCTTGGAAGCTCTGAGACTAAAACTGAGTGTTGTAGTTCTGATATGAAATGGAAACATGCAACTTTTATTTGCCTAGAGCACTTCTCTTTTAACTTTTTGCTTTAAAAACTATTATATTGGTCAGTACTATACAGGAAGGGTTTTTGTAACACACATGTTGCTTTATATGCCCTGGCTTAAAATATTGATGTGTAGGAGAAAAACATTTTAAAAAATTTTGTCTGCTAAATTTGAGAAAGTAGGCAGTACTAATTTTATGTCTTTTAAGTTACATCACAATAATATGGCAAGAATAGTGATGGATGGCAAGTGTGAGATGGTGACAGTAAAAGAATTCTCTTGCGAAGGGGCTGTGTTGGATAGACAGTGTGCATGTGGATAATGTTCAGTGTACTGAAGTTACACTGGTAGTGGTGGAATATAGCTGCTAATGTTCAGCCTAGATAAAGTAGAATGTTCTGATACATACATCACTTATTTTTACTACCTGATTCTTTTTTGGAAAATGTCCTAACAAATGTTTGTCTTAACGTGGTAGTATCTTATTGTTTTGTAATACTTCTACTTTAGGTCCTGTTTTCCAGTGATCTTTGCATCAAGGAAAAGGAAAGGGCAAGGAATTTCTTGTAAATAAGATGTTTCAGTCTAGGTTTGAGAATCCTAATCAAGAGACTTTTCCTAAGAATCACTGGATTCCTCCGGTACAAGCATGGAAGTGGTTTTGCATTATCGACCACATCAGAGAGATGTAATAAAACTGCAGAAATTTGCAGAAGCAGCAGTGAAGGAGTTTCCCATTCGTCAGTTACCAAGATTTGCACCCTGGTTTCCAAATGATTTATACCGACTTCCCCTCAAACCAAAAAAGCAGGCACCTGCTATTTCTCGTGAGGAAGCTGAAGAATTGAAACATCTTTTTACACCTTCAGAATGTGTTACAGGATCTCCTGATTATGACTGCACAAAGAATCTCCTTGAGTTTCAGTGTAGCATGAAACTTGGTCCAACTTTAATCCAAGCACGAGCTGTTCACAGACCAATTAACTTGGATTATCAAGGACAACCACCACCTAAAGGAAAACAAAAGTTGAAAAGGTCTTGGAGTATCTCTCTTCCTAGCACTAAACTTAAAGAAAAGGTTCTTCCTTTATCTCAAGAACTGCAGAGTAATTTGGAAAGACTAAAACTGCATGCGTTTTATAGAGCAAAGTGGACAATTGAACAATCTATTTGTAATAATCAGAATTTGGAGGACATCTGGATAAAATTGAATAGACTGATCAAGGAGAATGAATTGCCATCTTGCAATGCTACTATCCGAAGATCTGTGGGACAAATATGGGTTTTCTGTGATATATTATACTGTGAATATGTTAGAAATATTCTTAGGGAAAAACTAAGCCTTACAGATAAAATGAATTTGCTTGTACATAAGTATGGAATTATATTTAGTTTATAATTTAAGATACAATTTAATAGTAACATTACTGTCTGGAGTACTAGAGTTTTTAAGCAGTTTAGAATATAGAGACTTAAGAACAACTGATGAATTAATAAGCAAAAAAAACCTACTTAAATTACTTTGCTACATTTTTCTAACTAACGATATATGTCTTTAATTTTGTTTTGCCTGAAGACTTATGGTTCAGTTAAGATTAGTAAGTTTCTGTTTGGCTTAGTACTGCATTTCCAGACTATTTTGGCAAGCTGTGTCAGACAATAAAAATCTATGCTTTCAGTCAAACAAAGTACATCCTTTCTGCTTCTTTGAAACTAGGAGAAGGAAAAATGTTTTTAAATGAGTTGTAATAAGTGCTATTTTGTATCTAATTATTTTTGATATTAAGACTTTCAAGATCTGATTATTCCTGAAAATAAAGTGTGTGAGAGTTTTTTTTTAATGAAGGCATATCCCTTGCATGAAGTACAGACTTACTTTATGTGGCATATATGTGCTGTCTTAGTAATGTTAGCTGTACTTTTCACTGAAATACTAATGATAGCTTCAGTAGAAATTTGTACTGAAAAATATGAACCATTTAATAATTGCTGGTTTACAGCTTTGGTAAGAAGATTACTTCTTCCAGATGTTTCTGTTGTTTTGTCTCTAATTAGATTGGGAACAAGAAAGCACTAGTGACCACTAGAAAGTGCTTCCAGCTACAAGTAAGGAAATTAAGAAATGAGACTTCTATACATAAACCTCTATTTGTTGTCATTATGGAAGGTAAAGGTCTCTGAGGGTTTGAATAGTCATAAGTCATGAGCTCATCATGACTTTTTGTCACCTGAAAGAATGAAGTTTTCGAAGGTCATGCTGTCCTTGCTCAATTGAATGTTTGGAGGGTCGGTAGAGAAGTTAAATTGGGATTGGTGTGACTACAAGGTATGCATTTCTCTTAGGCACTTCTGCTAACTCTGAATAGTTTTGCTCCAGCTGAAGATCAAGGTCTATGGCATCTGGAAAAGGAGGAAAACAAATGTATGATATTTGTAGATTGTTAGATTATCATTAATGCTAATCAAATAAAAGTGTACGTAAGCATAACAGATACCTCTGTGTAAAAACAAGTAAACTCCCCTTAGACTTTGATTTACATTATGTATTACATCCTTATGTTGTATAATTATATTATAGGCATTACATTTTTTTAAATATTAAAATTAAGGATATTGCTCAGTTTGGGTCATTTACATATATTTTTGAACTCTGACTGAATTTTAAAGGGGTCATACATTGATATTTGGAGTGTTTGTGCCATTTAAATATGACCGCTTAGCAAAATTACTGCAAAATGCTGTCTAATGTAACTGAGGATCATTTTTAGTTTTGTAACTTCTACAGCCAAATTATTTCACTGAAATTGTATTTCTGACTTTAATATTAATAGTAACAGTGTGTTTGTGCATCAGCATTTTTGAAGATATGCAATATGATTTGAATTTTATTTGATGTTGTATTTTGTGTCTAGGGTCTTAGAAGAAAAGTGCTGAGATGTTGTCCTGCAAAGATACTGTATTTTCTAATATTAATTTGGTAGTCTTATTAAATATAATAATATATCTCTAGTAGTTTTTCTCTGTTTTGACTTCATTCTGTGATGTATTATTTATTGCCTGAAATGTCACTAAACTTTCTTTAGAAACAGTCAGCAGCTACTAGTTTATAGAGACTTAGTGTAAATTTGAATAAAATTAAGTAATGCAAATAATACAGTCCCACTATATTAATTGATATACTGACGAAAGAGCTAAATAGCCATCTTACTAAACAGAAGGAGGGATCACTGTCACTGCAGCTGTCAGCTTTCTGCTGCTTTGGCTTATATGTGAATAATGATAAATGCTCTTCTAGCCATGAGCACCTCAGCTGGGTAAGTGTCATGTAATAAAGAGCGAACACCACCTTAGACTTCCCTACAGAATTATTAGTCTTGGGTAGCACCAGTGTACCAGCTGAAATCCAGACTTTCTTTTTGTTCTGTTCAAGAAATGCTTGGTTCATATGCACGTACAATTCAGTATTTTATATTTTTCATTTTCAATGTTGAATGTGGTTCCCCGTTTATTTAGTTCTATGTATCTTTTTAATACACCTCATGGTTTTAAGCCTTCAGAAGTCGTATTTTTCAACTTTTCACCATACAAAGAGAAAATATTACCTTTTTTTATGTGAAAAGTGAGAATTGTTTGTGTCAATGCTAACATGCGTAGATCTGCTGTGTGGTAGTGTAACTTCTTGTGAACCAACAGCCCATTGTACCCAAATGGATATTGAAGTAATTCAATACTTTACACCACTGGAGCCAGTGAATGCTGTCTGGATATATAAGTCCTACAAAATGCAGTAAAAATAAAGTCGCAATACATGTGGTCAGTGCAAGGATTTTGATTAACTTGTTGCAGTCAAGATAAATCCTTTTAGTTTATTTTTTTAGTTTTAGTTGGATTTATGTTTGTTAAGTTTCAAAGAAAGAAAACCCAGTGATTTTTACATATTCAAATCAAAACCTAAGGTTAAAAATGCTCAATTTTGTTACAGGTGAATGGTTTCGTGATAAGCTATATGCAAGATTAAGGCCGTGGTTAATGTAAATGTGGAAGAATTCTTTTAAAAAGCAGCATCTTAAAGCTGATATATAAGTAAAAATAATGTAATTTTGAGAATGAATTAAAATAGACTTTGAAAATACCACTTTCTTGAAGTTTTTTAAATAGCAAAATCTCAGTGATTTTGATTTTCTCAGTATCAATAAAATAGTTTTGTTGTAAATATGTTCCTCAGGTTTTTGTGATGATTTTCCTGTCTTGAGTTTAAAGGTTGTGGCTTAAAGAAAAAGCAGTTATATAAATAATGTAGGCTTTTAGACTTGTGACTCTACCCTGTGTATGTGTTGTAGATTAGGGTGTAAGTGCAATTCCTTAGAGACTGGTGTTTGACTGAAAGGGTCTGTCTTAGCCATCATATCCCGTTCTAGAGCAGCAAGGATCACAGGACAGGTGCTTAGCTGAAGAAGTCCACAAAGAAATTAAATACTTTTGAGGACCACAAAGCCCTTAACGCTGTAACAGGTATAAGACCTTTAGCACATAAAATTGAAAGCAGTAGATGTCAGTACACTAAGGGAACAAAGCAAGAGGGAGCAGTGGCATTACCAGTATTCTTGGATCTCAGAATAGCAGGGAATTTTTTTATATTGTGGAAGTCCAGGTGATCCAAGAAGGTGTTACCTTTCTCAGGCTAAGTTTTATTCAGTGGCTGTGGTTTGGTGGGGTTTTTTTGGTGTAAGGAGAGCAAGACAAAATTATACTTTTAAAAATCTTCTAAAAATATTTGGTTAATTGACCTGTGATTTGTTTTCTGATTTTTGCAGTGATGAGGCTAACCAAACCTACTTTATTCACTAATATTCCGGTGACTTGTGAAGAAAGAGATTTGCCAGGTAAGTTTTTTCTACTGTCTGATTGTTATGTATGTATTGCAAGGTTTAAGCAATGTGACCATCTAAGATTTAGATACTGGAGTAGTCTTATGACCCAGCTCTCTTAGAGGGTGTCCCAGGTTCGACTTGGCTCCCAGCCAAGTGCCTGGATCCCAGGGACAAAACCTTCCCCCTCCCTTTCACTTTCTCCCAGCTGACCAAAAAAAAAATCAAAAGAACCTAAACCGAATTAAATTTTAAGTGAAAGATTTATATATATATATATAAAGAAAATTATATACACTATTACACCCCCAAAAAGGGAAAAGGGAAGGGAAAGGAAAAAGGGATAAAAAGGGATAAAAAGCCAAATACTCCCCTCAAGAGAAAGCAAGCCACACCACACAGCTGCCAGCACTGTCTGCCTCTCAAGGCCAACCAGATGTGCTAGGCCTCACTCCCTCGCCCGGGCAGAGTGACAGTAGAGCTATCTCCACCTCCGGTCTGCCGGAAGAAAGAGAGCGAGAGCTTCCTTTCTTTCCTTAATTATACTTTTGCTTACGTAAAAATCGTATGGAATACTGGGAACATGACTTTGGTTCCTTGGTTACAACCTGATCCCCAAGGAAGGCCTAAACTCAAAACCACTACATTCTCCACCCCTTATTCCATACTGTTTTTACGTAACACTTATATTTCACATATTTGCTTATATCCCGCGCATATATACATATATATATATAGTCCTTTGGAGTAGTTGTCTTGTGGTAGAAGATCAGCTTCAGCATTAACAGTAGCTTGGTTTGGATTCTTGGCACTTTGGTTACAATCACAGCTCAGGTTTAGGACTGGTTCACTGTCTCATCATCAGATACCGGTATCAGCCTTGGTCAGGTCTCTCTCATTTGGCGGTTGGTTTCCTTTAAAACAACTTGAAGCATAAAGTTATTTTTTCCCCAAGGATAAATTTCCTTGAGGACACACTGCATCATGGGTCGATCGGGCTAGGAACAACTCTCCCTTATGTTACCAGTCCAGGTCTATTTGTGACACTTCAATTTGCGCAGCTCTATCTGCTTGTCTGTTGTTACAATGTTCTTCGTTGGCTCGACTCTTGGGTATATGGGCATTTACATGACGGACTCTCACATCTAGTTTCTTTATTCTAGAAGCGATGACCTGCCACAAATCAGCAGCCCATATGGGTCTTCCTCTACGCTTCCAACTCATGTTTTTCCATCGTTCTAGCCATCCCCATAGGGCATTGGCTATCATCCATGAGTTGGTGTAGAGGTAGAGCCTTGGCCATCCTTCTCTCTCTGCGATGTCCAGGGCCAATTGATTGGCTTTGAGTTTCGCAAACTGACTCGATTCGCCTTTACCTTCAGTATCCTCTGCCACTTGTCGGGTGGGACTCCAAACAGCTGCTTTCCACTTCTGGTTCCCTCCTACAATGCGGCAAGAACCGTCAGTGAAAAGAGCATAACGTGTCTCTTCATCTGGCAGTTGATTATATTGTGGAGCTTCTTCAGCTCGTCTCACTGGCTCTTCTTCTTCATCTGCCAGACTGAAGTTCCCACCTTCAGGCCAGTTAGTTATGATTTCCAAAATTCGAGGGCGATTTGAGTTTCCAATTCGGACACGTTGCATAATCAAAGCAATCCACTTGCTCCACGTAGCATCGGTAGCATGATGTGTGGGAGGCACTTTCTCTTTGAACATCCAACTCAGCACCGGTAGTCAGGGTGCTAGGAAGAGCTGCGCTTCAGTGCCAATCACTTCTGAAGCTGCTTGTATGCCTTCGTATGCCGCCAGTATTTCCTTCTCCATAGGGGTGTAGTTGGCTTCAGATCCTTTGTAGCTTTGTCTCCAGAAGCCAAGTGGTCGCCCTCATGTTTTGCCAGGCACCTTTTGCCAGGGGCTCCAGGAGGGACCGTTATCTCCAGATGCAGTGTAAAGTACATTCTTTACATCTGGTCCCGTCCTAACTGGTCCAAGAGCCACAGTGTGTGCAATCTCTTGCTTGATCTACGTGAAAGCCTGCTGTTGTTCAGGACCCCATTGGAAATCGTTCTTTTTATGGGTCACAAAATAAAGAGGGCTCACAGTTTGGTTGTACTCCGGGATGTGCATCCTCCAGAAGCCTATGACTCCCAGAAAAGCTTGGATCTCCTTTTTGTTTGTCGGTGGAGCCATTGCTATGATTTTATTGATGACCTCGGTTGGAATCTGGCACCTTCCATCTTGCCATTTCACCTTTAGGAATTGGATCTCTCTGGCAGGCCACTTGACCTTGCTTTTCTTAATGGTGAAACCGGCTTTGAGGAGAACCTGAATGATCTTTTCTCCTTTGTCAAAAACTTCTTTTGCTGTGTCCCCCCATACAATAACGTCATCAATGTATTGGATGTGTTCTGGGGCATCACCCTTCTCCAGTACAACCTGAATCAACCCATGACAGATGGTGGGACTGTGTTTCCACCTCTGGGGCAGTCGATTCCAGGTGTACTGCACGCCCCTCCATGTGAAAGCAAACTGCAGCCTGCACTCTGCTGCCAAGGGAATGGAGAAAAATGTATTTGCTATGTCAGTGGTAGCATACCACTTCGCTGTCTTGGATTCCAGCTCGTACTGGAGCTCCAACATGTCTGGTACAGCAGCACTCAATGGCGGCGTTACTTCATTCAAGCCACGATAGTCCACTGTCAGTCTCCATTCACCATCGGATTTGCGTACAGGCCAAATGGGGCTGTTGAAGGGTGAGTGAGTCTTACTGACTACCCCTTGACTCTCCAATTTCCAGATCATCTTGTGAATAGGGATCACAGCATCTCGACTGGTCCAGTATTGTCGCCTGTGTACTGTTGAAGTGGCTTCTGGCACTCATTGATCATTGACTTGCAGGAGTCCTACAACAGAAGGATCTTCTAAGAGACCAGGCAGGGCAGACAACTGCTTGGATTTCTCCTCAATCACCGTGGCTACACCGAAAGCCCATCGGTACCCCTTCAGGTCCTTGAAGTATCCTCTTTTCAGGTAATCAGTACCAAGGATACAAGGGGCTTCTGGCCCTGTCACAGTGGGATGCTTTTCCCATTGGTCTCCAGTCAAGCTTACTTTGGCCTCTACTGCTGACAACTCTTGCGACCCTCCTGTCACTCCAGAAATAGACACAGTTTCCGTAGTCTTGTGTTCAGACAGCATCAGTATACACTGGGCACCGGTATCTATCAAAGCCCGGTATCTCTGTGGATCCGATGTGACGGGCCATTGAACTCATACAGCCCAGTAAACCCGGTTGTCCTTCAGGTCCCTTTCCTTCTCCTGGCAGAAGGCAGGGCTCCTCTATTAGTCCTTGTCAGAGCATTCAGTGTCGGATGTCCTCTTTGCTCCACCAGTGGCCTTCTTGTTGTCAGGAAAGTGGACTTCAGCCTTCTTGTATTGTGGAGATCGCAATTGTTTTTCCACAAAATCCGCATCAACTACAAAGACAAGTTTCTTGTTGGCTTCCTTCTGCTTCAGCTCTTTCACTCTGGCCTGAAGTTTGTAAGTATTTTTTTCATATTCTCTCCCTGATTGTGTAGGTAGGACCACAGCTGATTACGTGATTGATGGTTAGGGCCCTTCTTCCTGCGTGTAGGGGGAGGAGTTGTTGACCGAGATCTGGACCAAGATCGAGGTTGAGGTCGAGCTCGTGGTCTAGACCGCTTTACTGGTGTGTCTCTGTAGTCTCAGGAAACGCTGTCATCTCCATCTTCGTAGTCATCCTCATATTGAGAATATTCATAATCTCCTTCCATTCTTCCCTTAAAGTGGGTGAGTTGACGTTGGACATCGGAAAGATTTTCGAAATTCTCTGCTATAGTCTGTATCCACTGACACATTGTTTCTACATCCGGTTCATCCAACTTTGGATGGAATGCTGAAATTAAGCAGTTGATGTATTGTGCAGGGGCACCTTTAATCACTTTTCTCCACGTTGGATTGGTACATGGGAGACTCGCGGGGTCTAAGATATCATAATAGTCCGGATTACTAAAGATAAGTTCAAGCATGGCAGTTCCCAAAGATATTGCACACCTTCTTCTGCAGTTGTCCATTTTCCTGGAGAACTTGTTAAGTACTTTTAAACGGCTATCTCTCTCTCACCGCATTAAGGATCCTAAGCCAGAGACTATGACTATATGGCTTTCGTGGTTTTGCCCAGTCGGTCAGCCCCTAGGGCTGAGGATGGTTTTGTACAGGTGATTTCCGGACAAAAAGGCCAATCAAAAATTCAGTGACGCCTTTGCTAATTACATCTTTAAGAAAACAGAAGAGAAGACTTGTTGCACAGTTAAAAAAATTAGAAGCAGCGGCCATGTAGAAGAGCGGTGGGCCCCAAGTGGGCCAAGGCCTCTCCTCCCCGGGCTTGGGCCGGGGGACGGGGGCAGGTGCAGCACTGAAGCCTCCCTTCTCTCTTGTAAGTGAGTGAAGAAAAAAAGTTTAAAAGACTAACTACTTGGACAGAAACTGCTGCAGAGAAATTCCAGCGAAGAGATAAGGAACTTCCAAGGTCAAAGCTAGCAGCTGAACCTACAGCAAGAGAAGTAAAGTTCGAAGTGGGAAGAACTGCTTCTTCCCCTTTCGCTCTCTCTCTTCAGCAGGGAAAAGACTGAAAAGTAATTCCTGCCACCTGTGAAGATTTGTTGGGGTGAGGAGACCCCCCATGCGGCTCACAAAGGAGCTTGTGAATGTACCAGAAAATAGAAACTTCATGAGAGACCTGAGGTGAGACAGAGTCCTGTTGAAGACTTTGTGGCCCTTGAAAGGGACGATGCTTATGCTGGAGTGAGGACAGCTCGGATAAGCTTAGGATCTCAGTGAGAGATCAGTGCTACTGGTGCTGGAAATTTATAACCCTGAGAGAGACAAGACTTACGCTAGAGCGAAAGATGGCTCGGGTAAGCTTGGGATCTGTGTGAAAGATCCATGCTACTGCTAAAGATTTATAACTTTAAGAGAGAGAGAAAGCCTTACGCTGAAGTAAAAGCGACTCGGGTAAGGATGTTGGCATCCATGTGAGTGTGGAATCCGTGCTAGACCCATGCGGAGAAGTTTGCTAAGGACTGTTTTCCCATGGGGAGGGACCTCCATAGGGAAATAGGGGTAGACTCTTAAGCCATTATCCCCTGTAACCCCGTGGAAGAAGATCCATAGTAAGCAAGTGTCCCCTTGCAAGCCTATGGAAGGAAGACCCTTCAGGACCTGGGTAACCCCCAGCCTTCAGTCTTAGCCCAGGACGGGGGTAGGCCCAGCCCTGGAGGCCAACACAGGGTGAGAAAAGCGAGAGAGAGAGAGATGAAAAAGTTCCAGCAGTGACGAGAGTAATGCTGCAGAATTACTACAGAGAGAGCTGGAACTCCGAGAATGGAGAAAAGGACTACTTCTCCTCCTTGGACTCGTATAAAGGGAGAAGGAGTATTTCTGTACATACATAACACTTTTACCTAAGTAGAATTATTATAGATATAGTTCTTCAGTAGTCTATTTTACTAGTAATAAATATTCATATTATTTTCCCCAAATCATGTCTCTTTTGTCTGCATAAACCTTCTCTCAGCTAATAGTAGTTGTGTGGGGAGTGGAAAACAAATTGACCCGGAACAAAACCATGACAGAGGGGGAACTCTGAAACAGCAGTATATTTTAGATTTGGTAATAATTAAAGGAAGGTGCCAAGGTGCACTCTATAGCTCTTGGCCTACAGCTTTGAAAGCTTAGTGATGATACTCAAATGCATGACCTCAAAGTCTGAGCAATTAACACAAAATTGAGTGCAGTTCTGTGAGAGAAATGTGTAAGTGGAGAAAGCTTGTCATTACTATCTTTTTTTTATCTGGAGAAAACAACCTGGTGATTAGAACCAACACATGAATGTTTTATGGAAAACAGTTTTGCAAGACAGGTTTTGAATTGTTTTATGCTTAGTGTGGCATCATAAATTGGAAATCCCTGAGTTGTCCCACAGAAATAGTTGAAGTCTAGAAGTCAAGTATAAGAGTCAAAGGGAAGATTCAAGAAAGAGGATTGTGTGGAAATAAAAAGCAAACAGGGGAAGAAAGTAAGTGAGTTTGATTAGTTCTGTTATGTAACGTGCTTTACTTGGGTAGAATTTCCCGTAAAATTCAGTGTTAATTTGAGCTATGCCTTTGGGATTGTGCCCTTCAATATGTATACTGAATAAATTATTGAACACAAGTGCGTCGAAGTTAAATTATAACTTAAAGGCAGGCCTATGGATATATATTCTCCCCCTAAATAAGTTTATTGTAAAATAAATATATTTAAAAAACCCCTACATCTGAACAAGTGATTGTCTAACTTAAATGTAGGCAAACCTTTAGACTTAGAAAATATGTAATTAATAGTGACTTGACATTTCTACAGGTAATCTCTTTAATCAGCTCATGAAAGATGATCCTTCTACTGTAAAGGGTGCAGAAACTTTGATGTTAGGAGAAATGCTGACGCTGCCTCAAAATTTTGGGTAAGAATGAATTGTAGCTGTAGCATGCAAGGTTTAGGATTCATTTAATAATAATGTGTTTATTACTTCTCTTTGTATTTGAACACCTTTGTAATGCAATGAGATTTTCAGTAATTTTAAAAATAAACTGTGGTTTGATTTATAAATCTAAATCTATCTACATACATGTGTGTATGTGCTGCCTGATGTTTCTTTTCTGTAGCCTGACTGAATTTAATAAGCATTGAAAGTTGGAAGAGATTTGCAGCTGTGGGTGAATGACTAATGGAATGCTCTGCTATAAACCCCATCTTACATTAACAGAGTTTACTACCATGATGCTTTGGGTACTGGAAGCCATCTTGCTCTTCTCAGATATTGAGCTGGGAAAAAAAATCTGATTTGTTTGTTCTCTTTTGAGGCTGTTTGTCTTAAAAGGATGTTTTCAGAAGTATGGATGCGAAGATGCCAATGTTCTTCTAGGATTTAATCTGGCAAACGTGTTTGCATATAGTTTTTAAATTAGAACTAAAAGATGTTTCAGTGACATGTTCTGTTTTTTTAGTAACTGTTACTAATTTTTTTTTTTTTCCTGAACTGCAGAAACATATTTCTGGGTGAGACGTTTTCCAGTTATATTAGTGTGCACAATGATAGTAATCAGGTTGTCAAGGACATACTGGTGAAGGTATGTGAAGATAAATCTACTTACCGGAATTCTAAACAAATATGATGAGTATGTTTTCTGACAATATATTGTTTATATATAATGCTAATATATAGATTTTAGGAAACATGTCACTTTTTCCAATGCAGAAAATATACTTGGAAATTAGAAACAGTGAGACATAAAAATAGAAATTATTATAGAAATCTTTAAAGATTAAAATTCAAAATTATGATTGTGTCAAAAAATGGGTATATTACATAATCACAGAGTCATTGAAGTTCGAAAAGACCTCTAATATCAACAAGTCTGACTGTTAACCCTGTCCTACCAAGTCCACCACTAAACCATGTCTCTAAGTGCCGCATCTACACCGTCCCCACGGGGTTGGTACTCAGCCACTTCCCTGGGCAGCCTGTTCCAATGCTTGACAGCCGTTTTGGTGAAGAAATTGTTGCTGCTATCCACTCTCAACCTCCCCTCGGTAAACTTGTGACCATTTGCTCTTGTCCTATTGCTTGTAATTTAAGAGACTCACCCCCATCTTGCTGCAATCTCCTTACAAGCATTTCTGGAGATCAACATGGTCCCTCCCCTCAGCCTCCTTTTCTCGAGGCTGAATGGCCCCCAGCTCCCTCCGCTGCCCCTTATCAGTCGTGCTCCAGACCCTTCACCAGCTTCATTGCCCTTCTCTGGACACACACTCTTCTATGCAAAGCTTCTCTGAAGAATTTGTCTAGCAAAACTTGCACAGCAAAAAATACAGAGTTATGTTCACTTAGTTGCATGCTCAATGGGGTCGTCAAAGCAAGTCTCTGTGAAGTGTACACTGGTTTGTATTTTGTATGAGTTATTTTCTAGTGCTGCTTTGTTTTTTTGCGTTTCCTGTTTAACAAATAAAACACTGAGATTAGAAATTCCAAAAGTCATTGTGGAACTCAATGTAAAAAGTAAATAAAGATTTTATAAACTGCATGTTAAAGAACTAGACCACTCGCAAGTTTCAGAACTTTTCTTTAGCTCTGATAAGTATCTCATCATCTTAATATATAATATGTATGAAAGTGTGTAGGGTACAAAATGCTCAGTGAGACCTAGTACTTTATAATGTGAGTTACTTTCTTCAGATGGTTTTAAGCAGCTGCAGTTCTAACCAATGCTTTGTTTTTCTGTCTCCAGGCTGATCTTCAGACAAGTTCTCAGCGTTTGAACCTTTCAGCTTCTAGTGCTGCAGTGGCAGAACTTAAACCTGACTGTTGCATTGATGATGTGATCCATCATGAAGTAAAGGAAATAGGAACACACATGTAAGGTTTTAAATTTTTCTATTATTGAATGATCTTAAATAAAACTGAAGCACAAGCATACTGTTCTGCTTTTGATAAAGGTTTAAAGTAACTCAAAATTATTTTTTAAAAAATTGTTTCTTTTCAGCTTAGTTTGTGCAGTAAGTTACACTATGCAGACTGGAGAGAAGATGTATTTCAGAAAGTTCTTCAAATTTCAGGTATTGTATGAAGTATTCCACTCTACTTTTAGTAAGTGTGTGAGTCTGAAAAACTGATTTTAAAACATTTGACACTTCGAAAGCACTTTTACATACCAAAAATTTGTTCACTTTTAAAAGTGAACTATTAAAAGCCATCACTTCAAACTCTACATGAACTGGTGGTTTCTAATTATCATACAGGTAAACATTTCAGAAATAATAAATATTACATCTTATAACGTTTTTAATATATAGAGAAAAGAATTAGTCTTAAAAAATCCCTTTTTATAGCAGCCAACTTTATGACTTTTTATTTGATACATCTAACCACTGATTTTACACTGTAAAATTCTGATTTTTCTTTTAGTGTGTGTAACCTTTTTTAAACTGGAACTTAGTGATTTGTTTTTTAAAGGAATCTAAGCAAAGATGGTTGATGTACTATATCTAACCCACAGAAGTAATTGACAGAGTTGAAACCTTTTGTTCCATCACACAAATTTTGAGACTTAAGGTTAGAGTAACTGAGGAAAGCAGGAAAATACTGTTATCTGTGAACTGGTACTGGCAGGAAAGAGTCTGTTTTAGCTGTATTTTTGATGGATGTTTGGGTTTTTTTTAGAGAAATATGTAGAGATTTGAATAATGTGGGCTCTTCCTCATGGAATAGAAGATACTCTCACAGAGTGTCTGGCAGTACAGGAGCATTATATAGTTTAGTCCCGAAGTTGTGTCAGGAGAGGTTTAAGTTGTTTACTAGGAAAAGATTCTTCACCCAGTGGGTGGTTGGTCACTAGAACAGGCTGCCCAGGTAAGCAGTCAGAGCACCAAGCCAGACAGAATTCAGGAAGTGTTTGGACAATACTCTCAGGCACATGGTGTGACTCTTGGGGATGGTCCTGTGCAAAGCTGGGAGTTGGACTTGATGATCCTTGTGGGTCCCTTCCCACTCAGGATATTTTGTGATTCTATGAAGGTGATTTCATTTTGTGGTTTTCTAGTGTTCTGTCTAGATACTTCTGAAAAAAATATTTCGATCATTAGAAGGTTAAATTGCCATTCATTAGAAAGAACATCCAATGTTCTAACAACATGTTAGTATTACCTGTGGGCCTTGAAATTGCATGAATTGATTAATCAAAGATGTATCTCCTGGCAATCCTAGGGAAAGTCATTCCATATCAGTTTTTGTGTTACATTCCTTCTTAACCTAGAATCTCTTCAGTGTTTCTTCATCTTTAGTGAAGTTAATGGTTCATCTTTGTGTGCTTTGTTTTGCTCTCCTTGTGAAACTCTCCATTTCTCCATTCTCTGTCCCTCAGCTTAGTGTTGGCTAACTCTGTCTCCTCTAGGCTTTCTCTGATCACTTACAGGTGATCTGCAGGTTTTTCACATCTCACATTCTCTCTGTTCCTTACCTTCGTTCTTGTCCAAGGTGTTGATTTTTCCCCTTTAGATTTTATATATAAAACTTTTTGTGCACATTTTTCTGGGGTCTCCATGCATGTTATAGTTGCTGTGGTTTTCAACTGAACTCTGCACAGACAACTTAATTGTCAAAATAGCTATGGCCAGCTATCTGTCAGATTTGATGCTCTTCCGACAAAGAAGGAAGCGTAAGAGCTTCTTAAAAGCTATATATTTATATGTACACTTTTACACCATCCTGTAAACAGTCTGTGATTCATTATGAGAAAAAGTCTTCACAGAGACATTTTTGCCATTTTTTTTTTAGATTTCACATTAAGACACCACCTAGAAAATCTGAAAACAAACCAAAAATGTTACAGAACACGAAACCATTTCTTTACAATGGGAATTGATGGCTGCTTGTGATCAGGATGCCACCAGCTATTTTACAACAAACAAAAAAATTCTCTTTGACAGATTCTCAGCTTCTTCAATCACATTTTTTAGCATCTTTTAAGTTGAACTGGTTTTAATCAGCTTCTTTTTTAAAACATCATACATAGTTTAATTCTGATGTGCCAAAGCTTTCTCTGAGTAATTAGCAGCATTATGCTTAAATACAGAAGGAATGATTCTTTCTGGGGTTAGGTTGTTGTTTAGCTTTGATGGGTGATTTGTGAGCCTCACAATAATTATTTATATTTTAGTGAGAGGTCACTTTAAATTTACTGCAATGAATGGAAAAACTTTTTTAACAGAAGAGAGAGAAAAAAATAGCATGTAGAAAAATTATTAAAAAGCTTACTGAAGCAAAGTATTTGGCTGAAAAAAGCCCTACTAAACCAGCAAAAGACCTAAATTAAAGTTTTAACTTTTTTCTGACTAGAGAGATAGTTATGAATGCTGGTAAGATTTGAACTTTATGCCTGTTATAGTGCAGAAATCTCTCTAAAGACAACTTTCTAATCTTGAGTTCTTCAGTGCTAAAAGATCTGTTTACAACTTGGAATGTTAGGGGTCTCTTAGGATGCAGTACATTTATGTGCAAACAAAAAAAGTTTACCTATGTAAAGGCAAATAAATGTCTTCAGCAATAGAATTAAAATTTATTTCTTTACAAGTGTAATAGAAGAATTTTTCTTTCAGTTACATCACTGTATATACATTTCATATTTGAATGTGTTAATTTTAGTGGCGTTATGTAAAAATTCAAGTACTTGAAAACCAACACCCGAGAATTGTTTTTATATCATGGAGTTGCTTTCTTTTGCTGATCAAATCTCATAAGACTAAAATGATGTATTGGCTTTTTTATTTCTTGAAACAGCTGCATTTTCAAGAAGGAAGTGAAGGCTAGTGTGGTTTGTTGTTAAAGCTAATCACATGAATAGTTCTCTATTGCATTTATTTTAGAGAAGCCCTCAGCAACTTTTTTCTGCAGAACTCCAAAGGACTTGTAAATATTAGATAATTTTTGCTTACTCTTGAAAGCAAGTGCAGACCACTTCAGGATCCAGGATGGATGTGATGTTATTTTAAAGACATACATCTACTTAGAGCACTGGCTTTGTCTGGTTTTGTAAGAGGCCAGTGCTTAGGTTGAGAATGACTTGTTTTCAGTATGAGAAAACTGCTTAGTAGAAAAGCAGTCAAGTGTGCACAAGTAAGAAGCAGTGAGTACGTACTCTTTAGTTGTGGGGCTTTAGCCAAGTCAGTTGTATCAGATATTCCATTATGCACCTATTATGTGTAAGACCAAATAGAAAAATAACACTTCGGTACAAGACCCTATCACTTCGAAACCGTTTATGCTGAAGTTGTCTGAGAAACCAATTGTCCATCTTTTTTTCCATTTTGTTCAGGTTCTTAAACCATTAGATGTGAAAACCAAATTCTACAATGCTGAGGTGAGATCTCTGTGTATTTGGGTTTGTTTTGGTATGCTGGGTTTATTACTTCATATTAGGTGGTTAGATTAAATTCAAAGTGCTTTGTAAGTACACCTTTCTGAGAAAGGTGATCAGTTTTAAAAGGAAAAAAAATTATGATAGATATATATTGTTTAGTTTTAAAATAGAGGGGCTCTTGATTCAGGGGTGAAAGAGATGATAACTAAGATAGACATGTCAGGACCTTAATGTAATTGACTGACAATTTTGCATATTTTCCAGTTGCCCGTGAACTCAGATACTTTCAGTTATTACTTGTATACTTAGGCTGATAGAGTACTTACTATAAGGGAGATAAATTGTTCACAAAGCAGATGACAACTTATCAGAGAGGGTAACATTTGAATTTTTTTAAATTTAAATCACTTAAATTTAACTTAAATGTAATTATGACCCTTCCATTCAGTAACTTAAGTTTTAGGTTTGTGACAGTTACACACAGCACTTTGAAACTGTATGATCTTATATATGCCTTGCATATTTATTTGGACATATTTGGTTATTTTTGGTAAGAATTTGGTACATGTATGTAAGGCACAGGCTTCAAACCATGTGTTGATCAGGTGTGAGATACATGAGTAGGGTCAGAATATAAGCACATGGTTGCATGCTTTATAGAACTGGTGTTATCCATAAGTGGGAATGTCTGGAAATGTCTTTTGCTGTGGTTTAACAACAAAAGAAAACAACAAAAACAGTCCTAAAAAATTAGGTAATTCTTCTGGGAGCAAAATAAACCCCTATTTAGTTTGTGCATTATATTGTTGTTTCAGGTATCAAATATGTGTTAGGGGAGAGGGGGACAGATACCTTAAATATTGCTGTCTCTCTATACTTTGTGTGTAAATTTTGTTTTGTGATGAAACACTTTATAGCTAATGGAAATCAAAACCTTTCTAAGGTAAATTCTGGGCAAATTTTTGACGTAGAGCAAAAGTATTCTTTGTTTTTACAAAATTGTTATACTGACTGGTCTTGAACTCCAGTTCTCAATTAGCTACCAATTCCTCATGGTAGAGATCTGTGGGAAGCTTTTGTGTTTGAGCTGGTATGTTTGGGTTTTGTGTTTTTGGTTTTTTTTTTTTTTCTCCGTAGAGGTTTTAAAAGGCTGTTTGAATGCCTTTTCTTATTCATGTTCATGACTTTGTGCAAGTCCCATTACTGTCTTACCCATATGATTGATTGAAAGAAACTTAAAAAAAATATTTTGGATTATATTAACTGAGCAATTCTCATTTGCCTAGGAAACAGATATAGTACCACTCCTATTTAATTTCTGGAAGTATGTAAAGCGTTGTTATATGTTGTGACCACAGAATTCAAATAAATTTTTAAAAACTAGAAATAAGTCTTTGGTTAGATGTTTTGTGTGATACTACATTGCTATGAAAGCACCAAGACATTGATCCTGTTATCCTTGGGAGCAGGGAAGAAAAGGAAATGGTATATGTCAGTTATTTAGTTAACGAAAGGTCTCTAAATGTTGGCTAACCAGTTATCATTAATATTGCAGGTATGATGCTGTCTGTTTATAATGCCTTTCACTAAAGTTATTTTCTATTAATATTATAATGATAATCCATAATTCAATTTTTTTTTAAGACAAGGAATGATGCTGAACCTAATCTTCTTGCTTGTTGCTTATATTGCAGTAGCATCCAAATCAAGTCAATCACTGAACACATTCCCTGTTGCCCTAACCTGCTGCAATCCCAGGATTGAATTACCTGCCCTGACCTATAGAAACTCTCTCACTGACTTTGATGGGCCTTGGAAAAGGCTTTGTAAAAGGTTCTGTTCACAGGGAGACAAATATGCAGACACTTAATATAAAAAAGTTTTCAATTAGAACTGGGTCTTTGGAATGATGGATATTCAAAAAAGTTTTTCCTGAAAGTATGCCAGATTTTTGTTATAACTTGCTACATTGTAGCTTTGCTAGGGCACATTACCACATTGTTTTTATTTTGAGACCTTATATATGTGGATACTTCTAATTATCTGTAAAATGGCAAGGACTGTTTTTCCATTTCATACAAAACCCATTGCATGAATTGAAATTTAGGCCAAACTTTAAACTTGCTCAAAAACTCCCTTTTTTTTGGTCAATTTGTTCTACCATATCTTGTCTGTGATTTGTGTGCCGTAAGCTCTACTTTGGATTAGTTCTGAAGCAAAGCTAGTAAACCATGTAACCAAACTAGCTATAAGTTATTAGAAATGTAGTTGTCATCTTTGTTTGCATCCATTTTTATTTATGTTTCTGTCTTACTAATGCTATCTTGTTTAGATGGTGCAAAAAAATGCAGAGATGCATTTTGTTTGAAAGTTAGCCTCCTTTTTCTTTAACATTTAACCCTAATTTCTCTAATGTCTTCTTTTTTTTATTTTCCCATTAGAGTGACCTCAGTTCTGTGGTAATTTTTATTTATTTTTTTATAAATATGTCTGCTTTTTTAATTGCTTACCTGTTTCTGTGCTTGTTGTTGACATTCTTTTACAAACATAGTGGAAAAGCAATGTTTGTTCTGCCTACCATAAACTGATGTTTTCTTGTCTTTTTATGTGCAGCTAATCACTTAAATGGTTAGCTCTTTCTTTAATACCCATTGTTGAAACTCAGAGTTGATTATTACAGATTACTTCTTGTGAGGGTCCTCCTATAAAATACCTTACCAAAATTTTACTAGATTCATTATTTGAAAACAGGAGTGACTGCCTCCTAAAATTTTTCTTATTTTGACCCTTGGAAATGTAGGTTTCACTACAGCACTACTTGTGTACGCTGTGACAGAACTTTTCACATCTGGTTGGTGGAGACAGTGGGTTTGAGGAGAGAGCAGCAGTTGGATATTCTTCATTCCTTTTGCTAGCTGGAACTGCACTTTCCAACTTCTAACTGCATGTAACAGTTGATTGAGTTAGTATGTTACTTCTGCAGTCTGATTTCACTTTAAGGTGTGCCTTATATTAAAATATAGTCATATTTTTAAGTATTTAAGGGGGGTTTTAAACCACGTGATATTAAACCAAATTACGAGTAACACAAAACTAACTTGCTTTTTCATTATGCTGCCTTGTTTTTTTCTTTTCCCTTTCAACTTAGCTTTTCTAAATTTCTGCTTATGGTTGCTGCTTTGAAAACAACTAAAATTTGGGTAAATGGACACTTTGAGCAATGGATTTTTGGGATATATATGGTATCAATTTTAGTGACATTAGTAGTAATGATTACTTAGAACCGTGTTTTAGTTGGGGTTATTTCCAGGTCCTGGAAGCGTGAGGTGTCTCTGTAACCCATGGAGCCTGCACGGTTTTCATTACCATATATGTACTATTGTTTGGTTTTTGTGCCTTATAAGCACACTAAACAACAGAAGTTACACAATCATTCTGTATTTCTCCTTCTAACATAATATTTTTGAGACTAAACATATTTTCACTTTTTTCCCACTTTTATTTTGTAATTTACAAGCAAGACTGCATTTGTATAAAGAAGTGATTTATTTAAACTGATTAAAAAGAAACTATAAACTCCTTTCTGTTTTCCTCAAAAAAGTACTTTTTAAAAATTTATTATAACAAAAAACTCAAACTGCTTCAATCTGAATTTACAGACGACACTGTTTCAGTTGGAAGTGGCCTACAACAATCCTTTAGACCAAATGCCTGAATCAGCAACTCTTCTGTAAATACAAATTTGGTTGCTACCCCTTTTTTTATTTAAATTAACACTTTGGTTTTGTTTTTCACTTCTCTGGGGCACTTACCTCTAGTAGACTTCTGTGTCCTGAGATTTTTAGAGCTGCAAAGTGACTTCATTGGTCTGCACTTTGACAAAAGAAGTGAGGCAAAACCATCTCTAGTTCCATGGGTTTTCATCTTTGGAAGTAAAACAGCCTTAGCTTTCATTTCTGTACCAAAATTGGTCCTTCAATACCATCTTCAGGCATTAACTTCAGATGTTCTTAAGGTACAGCACCAGTTAAATTGTCAGATGCATACAATATTGGTAACCTTTGGCATGATGGAGCTGAGTGAGAGAGAAGGCTGGATTTTATGTTTTAGCCAGAATGCCAGTGTTTTGTAATAACTATAAAATCTCAGAGCATGTACCTGAAATATTTTTTTCAGTTAAAGAGAAACACACACACTTACTTTAATTTTTTTATACAGCTTGATGCATTAGTCATCTGGCATGGCATGTTGTGCATTGCAATTCCTTACCATTTATTAGTTGGGTTTTTTTGGGTTTTTTTTAATAATTTGGATTAAAGCTTGAGTTGCTATTAAGTTGATGGAAGTCTTGGGAAGTGGTGAACTGATGCATTACAAATAAGCAATAGCTAGAACACAGCAAAATTATCCCACATCCATTGTTTGGCAAAATACCTGTTGACTAACACTTTTGCTCCTATTGTTACTGGGATTAAGGTTTTTTTCTTGCATTAATTATTTGATTTGCAGGCATGAACTAAACACGTGTGACTTTTTTAACAATAGGACTGTCTACTCTTTTTAATAACACTAATCACATTTTCATGAACTTGCACTTTTGGGTTTTTTCAGACAGATGAAGTTTTTCTGGAAGCTCAAATACAGAATATCACTACCTCTCCAATGTTTATGGAGAAGGTTTCTTTAGAGCCATCTATGATGTACAATGTTGCAGAACTGAACACAGTTGACACAGTAGGGAAAAGGTATGTTCATATTCAGGATACTTAACTTTGAAGTATTTTGTATTAGGATTTCATGAGATATAAGCTACCATTAATTGTCTGTAATGGAAGGATTGCACTTTTTTGCTTAATTAACAAGATCAGATTCCTGTTATGTATTCAACTGGAAAATCTGTTACAGTTTTTTTATAGAAACTATTCTTTAAACTTTATCATTCTACTTAGTAATCTCCAGCCTAATCCTCAAAAATTTTGTAACATGGATGACATGTTAAAATGAAAATGTATTATTTTTTCAGTGTCTCCTATGTAAAATTTAACCCATATCTGGTTCTGACTTGATCTCTGTTTACATACTTAGTCTTACAGGACCTGACATGTCCTTGCTTCCTATCGGTAGAGCAGTAACTATTTTCAATGGTTCTAATCATGATCTAGCAATGCAGCAGTCAAGGTGAATCAATGGAACACCCATATAGGATCGTAGAATATAAAAAACTTGTTATAGTGAAATAAACTAAATTTCATTTAGTGTCAGTTAGTAGAACACCAAATACCAGAATAACTGACTACTGTGATACAAAAGATTTTGAAGTTAATTTCAGCTGTTTGTGCTTTGCACTTGCTTGGATTTTTGGAGAGGTGATCTTTGATGCTTTGGTAGAGGGAGCTAAAGTGAAAATTATGTCTTCTTGCCTGTTGAAGGGGTCACCTGCAGCACAGAGGAGCATTGTTCTTACAAAGTGTTTGCATCTGCTGTAACAGTTTTTGAACAGGAATCTTAGTTTCATTACAGTGAGATTTACTGTGAGGGAAACTGAATAGCAAAAGAAATTTAAACAACAGCACTGTTGTTTATATACTAAGATGCCAGATAGTAAATTATAATGTGTCAAAGTGTATTTCCATCTCATTTTTCTCTGGCTCAGATGAGTAAGGTTAGGGTTTTTTCCCCACAGTCCTTGGTGCTACGTAAATTCTAGAATTGTTTTCTGTTATGTTAAAAACACAAAACTGTTCTATATGTTTTGCCATTAATAAAGTAGGAACACACACACACACACACTGAGTAAGACCGTTGAGAGATGGGAAAAAAAGGTTGGGTTCTTAAGTCTTTTTCAAAATAACTCTTTAAATTAAGACCCGGTGTTTTTGGGTTTTTTTGTTCAGTGAATCTACTTTTGGCGCAAGGACTTACTTACAACCTATGGATACACGCCAGTACTTATACTGTCTAAAACCAAAGCAAGAATTCGCAGAGAAAGCTGGAGTAATAAAAGGTGTAACAGTGATTGGTAAACTAGATATTGTATGGAAAACTAATCTGGGTGAACGAGGAAGGCTGCAAACTAGCCAGCTCCAAAGAATGGTAAGTTTAATTCAAGTGTTAATTTCACTTAGCACTCATTTTTAAGGTAACTCAACAAACAATTTAATAATAACTTGGAAAATGCAAGCTGCTTACTTTCCAAACCTCATTTTGTATTCACATGTTTCTATATGTCTTAGAGAGTTATTTCCTGTATTTCTTCAGTGAAGCGTGGATAACTTAATGGATTGTGCACTTTAATTGCCAGAATCAAGTAACCAATGTTGCAAAATACATTGGTTACAATACAATTAACTTTGAGTAACAATTTTTATGTATAATATTATTTATCTTTCATGTCTGCAGTTTTGAGTCTATTCTGTTCTAGTTGATTTATAAATTGATCATGAATTTTACTAGCTTGCTTAAGTTAGCTGCACAATGTGTCTACTCTAATGCCTAAACCTTACTTGCATCTTTTCAACTGAGGATGGTAAGAGAGATATGGAAGAGTAGTTAAAAAAACTTTGAGAAATGAATCTTAGTCTGAGTTTACAAAGCTTATAATTGGGTCTCTACCTCTGTCTTTCCCCCAGTCCTCTTCTTCTAGTAACTGAGCAATTCTGTAGGGAAATCATACTGACTTAGAACTAGGCAAGCAAACTTGGATCCTGGAAATTCACAGCTAGTCACTGAAACTTCTCTTTATTTTTAATTGAGGTGTTAAGTGTGTGTATAACCCCATCAAATTAGAAACTGGCCTTTTTTCTGAACTTAAGTTGAAACTTGTTGCTTATTTTTTAACAATAAACTGTCTCATTTCTCTTAAAGATAGATTTTTTTTTTCCCCTCCCTAAATCAGTATTGTTTCACTTTGCATCCCTTCTTGTTGAACATTTGAGTATTGCACATGAAGCACACTCCATGATTAGTTTTGGTCATCTGTCATTGGTTTGTGCCTCATGATTAACTGAGAAACATAAGCAATGTTGTGGACTTTAAGCAATGTTTGTTTCTAGAAAAGCAGCAAATAGTTGGGGGTTTTCACTTTTGAGTTGCAGAGTGTGTAACTCTTGTCTTCTCCTCATCTTTTACATGCTGTCAGATTATTTAATCTCTGGGTTCGTTCACCTTTAATCATTCTCATCCTAATCCATTTGCCAGCCTTATTTTTTCCCCCAAAGCCCAGAATTTTGCCTGTACTGTGCCCTTCTGTCATTGTTATAGTTCAGATCAGAAATGCACTTTTGAAACAACTATCCTGGATTACCCCACATACCATAATTTGATTGGAGGCTTTTTGTGGAATGGTCTTGGAATTCACAACTACGTTCTTTTTGGGTGACATTAAACCAGACAGATGCATGTCCACAGTATGCCGAGGGTACTCCACCTGCTCACAGGCATTCAGTGCAGGACTGAACTAGAACTAGACCAAAGTTAAACATTACTCTTAAGCAGCACAAGCGTAGAACTGTCTAGTTGATTCCATACTCTTGAGCAGTTACCTCAGTTTTGGATGAAAGCTACCTTGCTCCTCTTGGCCTTTACCTCTAGCCATTAATTCTTGGAGTTATCTCATTTCTAAGCTCAACAGTACGTGCCAGAATAGGCCTTCTCATCTACTCTGTTTTGAGTTGGTCAGTTGCTGTTAAGTTTATTCTGTAAAATACTGCTTTTATTGTGCATTTTTGTATGGGTTTTTTTCTCCTTAATGTATCTCTTAAAAGAAGAGCTCAGTGTTATGGCAAACCACCTGTTGCTTAGAGAATTGAGTATAATTTTTCCAGTTGATTCCTTCCTGTGACCTAATGCAGCTGAATATATTTGTGTTTTTCCTGGGCTGAATAATGTCATCTGTCATTAGTCTGTAATGAACTGTATGTGACTAAAACTTGTTCCAAGCACTGGCTTTCTGAACTTCTTCAGGAATATCTTTCAGTCATGCTGTAAACACAACTTTCACTATAGCATGATTTTATTTGTAGAATTGAAACACGTGCAACAGATAAGCCTTATCAGGCAGGACAAATTTTTCCCTTATTTTTTCCTTACAGTCGATCATTTGTGGGGATTGAAAATCTAAACATGCTTTTTATCTGCAGATGACCATTTTGAATCAGCCCTGATTGGTAGTAACTAGGATATTTACCACAGGTTGGTCAGTAGCCCATATGAAATGTGTTTCACTCTTGACAGAATTGGATAGTTGATAAGCATTCATATCATGTGACTTTCTAACTGGTGGCAATTAATTATTTCGGCAGAATCTTGGAGTACTGAAATGGTAGGGAGAATGAGCAGCCTCTTACTTCTTAGGATGTGGAATAGTGGTGGGTTTGTGCAGGAAAACTTTACTTACATTGGCCATGTGGATCTGTTACCTGCCTAACAGATCTTCTCAGGAACTGTATATGGCTATTCAAACTTTAGGGATGTAAACTATCTGGGAAACATAGTAATAACAATCATGAATTGTTAACCCTGTGAAGAAGGTGGTCATCAGCAGTGAATGGAGAACTGCTGTGATTTGCATACTAATCAAAAGCACAGAGTGAATCTTCTTTCTTCAAATTCCTCTTATTCCAAGCTTCTTGCAGTAAAGCAAAACTTAAGTAGTAAAAACTTCAACTTCACTATTCAAAATCTGAGTGTATGTTGTTCTTCCTTTTCAGGCTCCTGGCTATGGTGATGTGAGGCTTTCTTTGGAGACAATACCAGACACTGTAAATTTGGAAGAACCTTTTGACATTACATGTAAAATAACAAATTGCAGGTAACCATGTCAAATGATTCTTGTGCTTTTCCGCAAGTGGGTAAGTTGTGGTGGTTTAATTTTTCAATACTTTCCCCTCAAAGAAGTTAAACGTGGTCTTTACTATGAGTTGTAGTAAACTCATAGTAAAGTTTGTAGTAAAACTACTTGAAACACATCTTGTGAATTACAATGACTTTTAAAAATAAACAGAGAAAACAACAAAAAAACCTCATTCTGCTATGATCTGCTAATACTATCTGAACTAGGAGATTGCCAAAAATTTGTAGGGGAATTCCATGGAGCTGACTGGAGTATTATTTAAGATTGTACCTCATACTTTAATCACAAATTTTCTTAAGGTTGCAAAAGTGACACTTAAATGAAATAATTCTAAATATAAATTGAGGCCAGGGACTAAAGCATGTATTTAGTCTGCAGATACTTCTCATGAAAATCTTGTAGTCCATCCAAAATGTTAGCAGTATTAGTTATCCGGTTGTTAAATGCATAACAGGATGCTCATGTCAAAGCTGAACTACTGTGTCACAGTAAATCTTGCTTGCTGCCTTATAATTATGTATAAATTCTTGATTAATAGTAACCTGAATAATAATCCAGCTTTCACGTCTGCAGTCCTTGAGTGCTTAAAAAAGCCCACAGGTTTATTCTTGGTTTTCAATTTTCTCTAGCAGTGAAAGGACTATGGATCTGGTTTTAGAAATGTGCAATACCAATTCCATCCACTGGTGTGGAGTTTCAGGAAGGCAACTTGGAAAGCTGCACCCAAGTTCATCCCTCCATCTTGCACTTACATTGTTGTCTTCAGTGCAGGGATTGCAAGTAAGGCATTAGCTCAGTTTTGTTATGAAAGTAATGTTTTATAAGTGTAACAATTCTTTCTAATAATAACTCCTCTGAATATTTTTCCCTTCTAGAGCGTCTCTGGCTTAAGACTTACAGACACGTTTTTGAAGAGAACATATGAGTATGATGATATTGCACAAGTCTGTGTAGTTTCTTCTGAAGTCAAACAAAGCTGAAGAAAAAAATTCTGTGGTTCTGCTGTTCTTTTTTTTACCAACTTCTTGATGCTTCTGCAGTCAAATCATACTAAAATGTGTGCAAACAAACAAAATGCTTATATAGCTGTAAATGTAGTTGTGATGATTTAATTTATCTGAGCATTTCTTGAATGTTTTAAAATCTTTTAAAACCATGCTAGGCATTTTATCTACTAAAATAAAACCTTTGTAAAAAGCGTAGCTCTAGCAAATTATACTGCAGTAACATAACATCACTTCAGCATGAGAATGAGATTGATAATAAAAATAGTAGCAATTTATACTTACTTTTGTAATTTTAATTATTTTTTAAGTATTTAAACCAATTAAAAAATTTTGGTTCTGACACAACTGCTTCAGTTTGAAGGAACTGACCGTTTACAGAGAATTTCCTGGAATCCAAACCCCTAAAAGAAATAATTTGGGGTACCTCACATGGCAGTGTATTTGCCGGTACATGCACAGACATAGGAAATACAACCTGATAAAGGTTGACATAAGAGAGTGCAGCTGGCACTGTCGGGGCACTGGCAGCTAGAAGGTGGAGGATCAGCCAGACTCTGCTGGTTGTGGCTCAGTCTTTGAAAAGGAGTAATACAGCAAATCTGTCCCAGTTATCTGCAGTCATGAGCAAAGTTATGTGTCCCTGCAATACAGGGCATGCTGTGAACAGGCATGTTGTTTCCCAGTTACTAGGGAACTGAAAACTAAAATAGCAGAGTTCAGGCTTTTTTTTTTTTTTTATTATTGTTAAACTGAGGTGGTGCAAATTACTCTTCCCATCCCAGAGGCACTTAAATAAATTTTGAAGAAAAAGAAATTAACACCCCCCACCCCCGCACTGCTGCCTTAGATCAAGTTCTCCAAAATGTATACAGGAAGGAATACAGTCAAGCACTAAAATGTCCTTTCTACTGGCTTTGTTTTGACAGAAGGTGGAAATATTTTTGGCTGAAATATCTATGGTCACCCAGAGGCAGCCATTTAATAGAGAAAATGGTGACTGTCTTTGCTAGTTTAACAGTAGGTAAACTAGTGTTAAAGATTCTAATCAACAGCTTCTTGTATTTCTTAGCTGCCATGCTGGTAATTAGCAACTGTAGTTAGTTTTGACAGTATTTTACTTAAGGCTTTCCTGTGTATAAAATCTGTAATTGTAGAATTCAATTTTAAAATATTGTATTAATTTAGGACCAGCTTCCTAAAATGAGGAAGTAAGTCCATACAGGAAAAAAATTAATTAGAACTGTATCCTGACTATCTAATAAAATGCAGAGCAACCAACATGAACAGGTATTTTAAAGAATGCAATTTACCTGTTAGATACATTAACAGATAAAACCAGTAAAACCACAACTATCCAGACAAAAAAGTAAATAACTTTATTTATAATATATCTGCAAGATAAACTGACACAAATTGAAGGAGATGCAACCATATGGTAATAAGAGGTAGGAGAGATACAGAAATGGTAGAGAAGCTGCATTATGCCATTATGACTTTTTGTAGCCATGAAACAGTTTATTGTAAGTTGCACACAGTTCTTTATGAGTGATTTTACTTTGTACTTGTTACAAGACTAGAAGTGCAAACTGAAACAATTTCTAAACTGATTGTTTCATTAGGTATCTTTCAGACATAATTAGACAAATATACTCCCATGCAAGCAGATTACAGGGATTTACATTTGAGTGCAAAATATCTTCTTCTCTTTCTTATATGCTGATATAAAACCAATTAGGTGTAAATCCATATTTGCTCAGTTAAATGATAAACTGCAATTGACATTAAGTTAAAGCAATTTACAGGGATTGTGGTTTAGCAAAATGAAAAACTTTAGTGCAAAATCAAGGTCAGTTACTACACAGGAAAAGATTCCTTCTTCACCCTGTGATTAAGACATGTTGCATGACAGAAACAATGTAGCCTATTCAAGGACAAGCAGACTTTAGCGTAAATGCTCTCTCTGTTCCTGGATTCAATGGAAAAGCATGTAATGTTACTGCAGTGTTTCACTGGTTTTTGTCTAGGCTATAAAGCTCGTTTTGTTAATATACAAGAAACAAAGAATGTTTACTACTTAAGTATTGTGGCAGTTGAAGCACATTTCTGAAGGGTTAGCTAATGCCATCAGCGTTTTAATAAATACTCTGTATTATCTCTACTGAAGTAAACCCTAAACATGACAGTATTGCAGCATATGAAACATAACAACTCTATGAAGTTGATTTCAAGAGTAGTTTTCCAGGTAACTAACCAATGCTTAATTCCATTTAACCTTGGGGATTATTCTCCCATAAATCCAGTGAGCTACAGAGCTCGTACTTAACAGTACAATTTCTTCAGCCACTCTTTGAATAGTAACATATTCTGTAGTTCTTAAAGAACCCTCAAGAAGTTCATGACATTCTTTCTGTCTTAAAATAAAAAGGTAACTGACTGCATCAAGATTGCTGTCACAAAGTAAGGATAAACTGAGTTTGTAGAGAGATATTGGCAGTGCTGTCCAGTCCACTTTGGATGTATTGGTTCCCCTTATCAGAGGTACTGAAACACACTTTTGAGCAGTTGAAGATATGAGAGAACTTTGATGAAATGTGAAGTTAAGGAGGATATATGCTAGGAGCGATGCTTCTCTCCTGACACAACACGCTATTCCAATACTTGTACAGTGTTTGTAGCCCACCTACAGCAGCCATAAAGCTAAATGTAACTTTATCAGATAGTTTTCTAGAAGAGATTAGATTCAGGATCTGAGCTAACTCTGAAAAAAGATCCTGTTAGAGATATTCTTTTTTGTCAGCAGATGCTAAGTCAGAAACTGTTACATGGAAATGTACTTAATGTAAAGCTTAAGTGTCTCCACAGCGTCAAAAGAAAGCACCTACACCAACTTAAGAGATAATTTATTAAAAAAAAAAAAATCGGTGCTGTATATAGGCAAGCTCAATAAAGTATGAAATGTCTTAAAATTGTTGAAGTTGATCTATTAAGCTTTACCTTTTTATTCAACAGATGCTAATACGGATTTCCCAGTTTAGTGTTTTCTCCATTTCCTTTCATTTCTCAATGGATCCAGCTGCATTTTTATCCCTGGTTTTAGTAGGTAAAGGCTCATGCCATAGAGGCACACTTGTAATTTGTTAGAATCAAATACATTATTTATCCCCATTTGCTTCTACTTGAGGAACCCGTTTTTGAGCACAAGATCAATCAGACATAAAGTTCAGGAGTTCCTGTGTATTTCTTCCGTTTGGAGTCTATTACTCTTCCTCATACCTTCTCCCAGACTAACTGGCCAGCAGAGGTCACTTTGTCTTAGAAATCAAAGCAGGCTCCTCAAATTGGTGTGGACATACAAAGAGGAAGCCTCCCTAGAGTAAGAACAATTGTACTTTGAAACAGAAAGCAGTGTTAACAGTAAGCAGAGTAAAAAAAGTTAACATCATAAAAGTACAGAATAGCAGTGGTCTCTGAAAGAGTAAGACTGACTGAGCAAGAAAAGCCAGGTTAGGAAGAGAAATACTACAGAGTGGAAAAATGTTGACAATATAACCATCATGTTAGATAGATATGTGTACTTACACTTAAAAAAAATCCCCAATTGTTTAAGCCAGTGCTTTACCACACAAGAATAGAAAAAGAATCCTTCTAAGGCAGTTCTTTTTTTAATAAATTTTCAGTATGAGTTATTTGTACAGTCACAGGCTCAGTTTTAGCTTATAACAGTTAAGAATTTTAAGCTTATGCTAAATACTGCATACATAACGTAATACAGCTTGCCATGCTTAGGAACATAGTGCCGTAATGCTGACCTCCAGGGCTACCATCATGATGTGAGGGTATGCATGGCAGTAGAAAAGCCTAAAACTTCTTAATACTCTTTCCTTTCCCAAGCCGAGTTTCACTTTGATTTCTGTGTATTATCCTACACAGAATTATTGTCTTCTTTTTCTCTACAATTTTTGGTACTCCTTCATATGCAATCATCTCCCTCCCTCCTGCCCAGTAAAGTTGAAAAATATATTCTGTTACTCCTGGCCCCTTTTACAGGCTTAAAGAAACAGAGATTTCAAGCATTAGTGTAAGGTATGCTCTATTCTCCAACGCTGCTTTATGCTCATTATAAAAGGGCACAGCAAATGGGCCTGTTGTTTCAATATCTGACAGAGAGTACAGCCATCACGGTTCTCACTGTAAGAATAACATCCCTTTTACAGCAGCATTTTCGAATTAAGTTGTTATGCAAGACCGCTCACTACAAAACTCCTTCCCCCTCAATAGCCCTGGAGATCATTCTAATGCATGTATTGAAATGACTTGGACTTGGGGATTTTAATAAACCACCTATTCAGTGTATTAATTTTTAGAGGAGTAACTAGACATAAATGCTATGTTCCAAGTTATGTGCAAGAGATCTGTTTAACAGATTTATTCTTGTTTGCAAACACGCACAAAGAATTTTCTGTCTTCTATTCAAGCAGAAGAGTTACAATGGTGCTTTTGCTACTAACTATGGTACGCATTTTGGGGTTGTATATCATTCCAATTCACATGCCTCCTTGAAGTCAGGAATGCTCTTCAGTGCTGCCACTCAAATATCTGCTCCGGATATGATTTCTCAGTTGCTCTATGAGCTCAGGGTTCTGTTGCTGTATCTGCTGTGCAAACTGCTGCCCCCTGTGTTGAAGTGAAATCAGCAAGTGAAAGCAGCATTTGTAAGAAAACAGGCTATCCCAATACAGATGAAAGATGCATTACATTAGAGTTAGGACTAAAGATGACTTGCTTTATAGTCTCAAGGTATTTGTAGTATTATGACTTTATCTGGTTAAATTGTCTCCAAACAGGATTATCATTAAATATTTGTTTTCGTTCTTTAGCACTACTACTTCTACTTGATAACACAGAGGAAAAAGAATTACGTCACACGGTAAAAACAACACATCTGCTCCAGTGATTTTTTCCCTTCTTTTCAAGAGGACTTACTCTAATTGTTTAAATAACTACTCTTAGAGTTGAAGTGCAACCTTATGTTAGCTTTTCCAGAAATAAAGTGTGTAGCTGCCAGCTTCTACTTGTGAAAAAGATGTCATTAATAGAAAGTAAGGATACTATTACATCCTTATGTCTTGTATGACTGAAGTAATACCAGTAATCTCTGTAACAGTTGTAGTTTAAGAGTTAAATTAATACGTGACATTAACTCATGTAAAAGGTAAGTATTAACACTGGTTTACTAGAAAAAAACAAGTAAAAAAATAGTACTTCACAAAAAGCCTGGCTTGGCTTCTCTGTAATTTCTGCATCTTGCCCAAGCAGCAAATTATCAAGACAACTTTAAACCACGGTGCAGGTTGAAGAAAAAACACCATTTTCATATATCTCTGTTTTTTGTGAAAATAGCATTTGGTTTTTTGCACTGGTGCATCCCTTCCTATGATGTAAATTATAAATTACTTATGCCCTGAAAGGGCAAAACCTAAAAATAGTTAGAAATGGGCTAGAATGCTGAAATAAAGTAAAACTGTGTTCCTTTAAGAGAACTTGGCATATAAGCAAACCACATGCTTTTGTGGAGACCTTTCCAGATGGATTTTATCATTACTATACTAGAAAAGCCTTAAGTTCTGGTTTTTGTAAAGGTACTCTTCATTGAACTGAGTTCTCTGAAACCTTCCTCATCTAAATGGAAGGATACCAGAGCAGAACCTGTGACATGTGTTAAGTAAATCTATAGCTTTTCTAATGAGTGTCTGCGATATCTGGTAGTGCTTATCCACACAGTTTGAAAGCACGTGCAGGAGTACCTAAAGATTTAAAGGAATGCTTTTACTAAGTGGCATTAGAATGTAACAGCACATGAGAACCTGAAAGTGAAACTGAGCACATAGCAGTTCAGTCATTCCAAATGAGGGAAATGTACAAAGCAAACAAACAAAATTGTGGGAAATAAGTCTTAAGGCTTGTCAGTTTTAATAACAAACAGGCATACAGTGGGACTAGGCCACAGTGTAACTGGCTTGACACTATCCCTTTTAAGCAGATGTTGCAGTGATCCTACTACAGCTGTAACAGATAAAACTATGCAGTTCTTACTTACGCATGGATCAGGCTAGACAAATCTGACAGGCCACCAACGCCAGCAGCAGGGCCACCAATGGCATTTGACATCATCCCCGACATCCTGGAACAGTTAGCACAGTGTTGGCATTGAGGTGGGCAGGGACCTTTGTAGTAAGCAGTAAACCCTAGTTCTTTTTTGAATTGCTGGGAGGAAATGGGTTGCAAGGAGAAGAAACTACAGTAGCTTTATTTACACTAAGTAAAAATAAAATAACCTTTTCAGAATACATTACTATACACCTTTTCTCTTATTAATTCAAACCTCTAAAGATATTTGTTTTAATGGTACTCCATTTTAATACTTACAGTTGTTGAACTTGAGGATTTTGCATTAAGCTTGCTGCCTAGAATAGACAACATATAGCTAAAATTATAACACGTTTACTACTTAAGTATCATAGAGAAAAATGTGGGGGGGAAAAAACACAAAACCCCCCCACATGCTGTATTCTATTTTGTTACAAAATTAAGCTAAGTTAATGTGCACAAAGTCATATGGAATCACTACAGAAATGTATTTCAAGGATGTGAAGCTGAGAAAATTTGTTACATGTTGGCTAAAAAATAGTGGTTACAGATTCAGACATGAAAAATATGACAGGTAGCCAGTAAAAATAAAAACCCCAGTACCAGAAAACTAAACAAACAAACAAAAAAGACTTTCAAGGACAAAGATTTTCTACCAGGCTTTTTGAAGAAAAGTTTGCATTTTGTTTCTTTCCTGCCTGGAGAAATTAAATTTGCAACTATTATTACTACTATTATTAGGTATTAACAGTTAAGATTATGGCTATAATACATTGTGGAGTAAGCAGAGTGTGGACTTCCTTTGCAGCAAAGTTCTGTGGTAATCGTGTATCTTCCTACTTTGTAGTAAATGTGAGGTTATTTAAATTTCTCATTCAAAGATACCTCTAAAATTATACTGTGCTTACCATAGTATATAGGTGTCTATGGATAGATGCTATAGAATAAACAATGTGATATTTGAATGTTAGTAACATAATTCCTACAGAAATCAGTGCCTGTATGAATACACCACCCATAGGCACAACAGAATACCTTCTTATTCACTGTCTTACCAAAGGTACTACAAACCCCAGATATATCCAGTGTTAATTTTATTGATCAATATATTGCCATATATAGACATCTCAAAAGTAAATCAACTTTTTTCTCTAGTTAACAGTTGGATATAAAATGCCAAATTCAGGCCAATTCTATGGTTAATATAGGATTCTGGTTTAGTTTCTGCTATCAGTAATAAGGCTGATCTAGCTTAGGGGCCCAAAATGGAGGCTACAAGCCTCTAAGTCAGACAGGGAGGCAATTTTCCCCTTAAAACAAAACAAATAACTACCCCTCAGGAAGATAACTCATTCGTTCCTAAATGAACACGCTGTGTTCTAGGCATGTGACCAGGCATCTTCTGCAAATAATGCAAAAAATCCTTTCCCCAAAGTTAGCTCCATACTGAAGAGTATATTGTTGATTCTAAACAGACACAGAGTACATCATGTGACCAGTGAAGTGGTACACAGAGTTCCAGTGCCATTTCATCACAAATGCTATCAGAGAACTTGCTCACTCCTTCCTTACATACTGTCTCTATTATTTGGACCATGGGTGCTGGTTTTGGCTAGGGTAGAGTTAACTTTCTCCAAAGTGGGGTGCTGTGTTTTGGATTTGTGCTGAACACAGGGTTGATAAGAAAGAGATATTTTTGTTATTGCTAAGCAGGGCTTACAAAGAGCCAAGGCCTTTTCTGGTTTTCGTGCTGCCTCACTAGTGAGGGGGCTGGGGGTGCACATGAGGCTGGGAAGAGAGACAGCCAGGACAGGTAACCCCAACTGGCCAAAGGCATATTCCAGACATCATGATCAGTATATAAAGCTGGGTGGAAGAAGGAGGAAGGAGGTGTACATTTGGAGTGATGGCATTTATCTTCCCAAGTAACCATTATGCATGATGGGGCCCTGCTCTCCTGGGGATAGCTGAACACCTGCCTGCCCATGGGAAGCAATGAATTAATTCCTCAGTTTTCTTTGCTTATGTGCGGGGTTTTGCCTTCCCTGTTAAACTCTCTGTATCTCAGTACACAAGTTTTTCAGCTTTCACCCTTCTGACTCTCTCCCGGATCTTGCTGATGGGGGAGTGAGCAAGCAGCTGCGTGGGCCTTGGCTGCTGAGTGGCTGTGAAACCACACCACCATGGTATCAAACCAGATGTAAGGATCTTTTTGGAATACAGTGCACTGCCACACAAAAGCACTGATTACAATGTCCTGTTCCAGTGAAGCTACCCGAGGGCTAATAAAGTTTTAACTGTGTTCTCAAAGGAAGTAAGTTGGTGGTTGGTTTTTTTTTTCTGGGGGTGGGAAGCGTGATGCTTTTCTTTTTCTCCAGGTTCATTCTACAAAGTTCATTAAGTCCATTTAGCTAAGAAAGCTAAATTGTACTGGAAGGATTGCGCTATGTGGTATTTATATTTGTTGTTTGAACACTTAAGGATGTCAGGGATAATTTGAAAGAGTAAGAACAGAAAGGTCACAAGTAGTTCTTTACAAGAGTTACTTTAGTCCTTGTATTCATTGTTAACTGCTTTGTGAAGAATAGAAGAAATTTTCATCATGCCATTGACAAGTGTTTTACTATCAAACGATCCTCAAAAACAGCATAGCTAACCTATGTATGTTGTTCATAAGATAGAATCCATTGGAAATAAGACAGGCACTACAGGAGATTTATACTTAATTTCTTGTTTTAAGTGTAAAATTACATAGAAAAGTTGAAATTCAGTGTAATACAAACATTGCTATAATAATAGTAATTAAAACTGCTTGGCTTGTTAAACAAGTGTTTTTCTTAAAAATTCATTTTAAAAAACAAGATAAAGTCAAGCTTGAGACATACTCACCATACTAATGAAGGCAGGATTGTTTATCAAGCTTGCCATGTCAAAACTCAGTCCAGTTCCAGTCTACAAACAAATTGCAATAGAAGGTAAGTTTATCTACAAAATCCCAATTAAAACTATTATAAATAAAGAGATGCAGAGCTAACTTACAGGACTGGACATGTCTCTCAGTTTCTGTTCTGCTATTTTCAAATTTGACTTATAAGAGTCATTCTCTGGATCAAGATCCAGTGCTTTTTGGTAACTGGTAACTGCTTCTTCATATTTATTCACTGAGGTGAGAGCCAACCTAATGTGAAGTAAAGAAATCCTGAGTAGAACATAAACGACCATCAAAATATAATGATACATTTTCTGTTCTAAGTGAAACAGTATCTCACAACTGATTTTTTTAGCTTGATCACTAACTTAAAACAATTTTTGCTCCTGTGGTACTACTGCTCAGTGTAAGCACTTGTTTTTGCAGAAAAGATGATCCCTCAAGAACTCATCTTGCATTACCTGTTTCATATATATATGCAAGTTTCATGAAAAATTCCTTGACATCATCTAGTGATTTAGTCGCTATTTTGAGAGTACAAGCTGGATCCAGCATCTGTGACTTTTTTGCATAAGCTCAGTAATTCCTTCAAGTGTTTCTTCCAGTTTTTTTGATCCAAGAGTTCATTGGGCAAAGACAGCCCAAAGAATATAGGCAAGTTGGGCAAAGATAGCCCTAACATGACTTTTGCAACTTCAAGAAAACAAATATTGGACCCACAAGTTTCAGCATAATGGATTTTTGTCTCAGGATCAGTGCAAAGGTTCTCCTTAAGGCTCTTGTACTTCAACAGTTGACAAATTAGTTAAATGGCATAGTAATAAGACGCTGTAAGAAACCCTTGTATCAGGGAAGCCTGTTTAATATTTTGAAAAAGATTCTTCTCCAGCAATTCATGAGAACATAGGACAGATCTACTTTTTAAAACAATATTGTTTTCAAATTCAATTACTACATTTAAAACACCTTTCTTTGAACTATTCCAAAAGTCTATCTGGTTGTGGTTTCAATTCTATCCTCTACTGTATTTTCAATTTATAGTGACCAAAAGCTAAACTGATCTTTTCCACATTTTGTGAAAGATCTGTGTAAGCCACATTCAGCTATTTAGTACTCCAGTCCCCTCTTTTGATATGTGCTGAGCAGAAAGACTGGGGTGGTAAGCCTGTGCTAATGCCAAATAACAGACCCTAGTATTTTGTCTCAGGCAAGCAAGTTCAATGTGTTAAATACATCAGTGACAGTCAGCACTCTCAGTAAAAGTGTGAAACTCCAGGAGTTTCCAGTACTGCTCCTGGAGGAACTCACATAATATTCGTGTCTGTTTTCTTAACACAGTTACCCTCATAAAAAAACATTCTCCCTTTTTGGCTCATTAACTTGCCAAAATAGTTTCTGACCAGACTAGAAATGTAATCCGTTACTTCTGTGACGCAATAGTACTTTTTACAGAAAAAGTATTTTAGAGAATTTTAAAGAGAGAGTTTCTTAAAATACAGTACAAGTCAGAACAGTGGGCAACCATTTCTTTGCTCACAATTCCTACCCAGACACGTGGTTTTTCAGGGTCTTGCTGGAAGTATCACTTTAAATTGATATTCCCACCTTAAAATGGCTCCCATCTCTGTATATTTCTACACCTTTCTGTGACGTATAAAGAATTTCTGTCACATCCTGAGAAAAACTGATATGCCTGCATAATATAGTCAGAAAACACATCTTTTTCAATTGGGAAGGTGGTTTCTGCACTTGGGGTTTTTCTTTATTAAACATCATTTAGCCTATGCCATGTTTATGCTATGTTTATTCATCTGCTGAGCTAAGCAATGACTTGTAGCTCAAAATATGTTCTCTACTAAAACAATCAAAAAAGAGAAGCTTGATTGCCTGAGAATGGTCCCATCTATACTGTGTATCAAAGGAACATGAGTCTTACACACAAAACTCTAAAATAACCTCCAATCTCCAACTAAACCAGCCTGTAGCCTCCCTCCCTGTCACTAAAGTCGAGGGATCTTGGGTTATGCTGTATGAAGAAACAATCTTAAAGAGGGTTGAATAGAACAAAACCAATCCAACAATCAATTCAGCCTAAAATTTCCAAATTAATTAATCATCTCAAAAGCTACTTAGTCTATGTTTGTATTAGTAAAATAAACTATATTATGGAAAGTTTTCAAGTGATAGAATTCCATCATATTTTATGTTAAAATAAATGTTCCTGGCATGGTTTTGTCCCAGGTCAACAAACACTATTGCAAACAATTTTGGGGTATGGTTCAGAATTTAACACAGACTAAAGCAGTTTAGTAATAGGTCACTCAGATGTGGCCATTCCATACTGCAAACTAGATTTTAATAACACGTACATGAGCCATTTCATGCCAACTGACCCAATAAACAATTCTAAGCGTTTTTTAATTTACTGGTATAGAAAAAACTTCAAAGGCCATATGCAGCATTCAGCCCACAACCACAATGTGTTCAATTATTGAAAAAGCAAAGTTACACATCTTGGAAGAATGGCCCTTCACTCAAGTCAACAGGCTATTCAGAGAATTCCTGACATTCTTTTCAGATAACCCACTGCCTCGAGAAGCTATACAGTTATTCTCTCAGATGCCACTGAGAAAAACTACCAAAGAGACATAGCTTAGTCTTGCTAAAATATCTGCATCCAAAGATCTATTGAACAGAAAAATTAAGCCTCTATTCCTGCTAGTGTGAAGTCCCTGCTGTTCTCTAGCAGCATCATTAACAGATTCACCATTCCAACTGCAAGATTTTGATTATTCATAATTAGGCTGGAGGTAGAAAAAACACATCATGACTTTCTAAACCAAACTTGCGAAGTTGATAAACTGAATGAAAAATATTGCAAACTGGTGAAATCTGATAAAAATGCTGGTATCAAACACAAATATAGAAAGAGCTGACAGCCCGATAGGGTCATCCTCAGAAAACTGCTAGACTTTCAGAACAAGAATGTCAGCTAAGTAAAACAACCTGGCTCCACTTATTTCAGAAAATCGATGGTGATTTACATGTGAGATTTTAGTGTTTACTCAGATTTGTATTAGCTTACCCCATTCTTCCATATGCTTTGCTGTACTTTGGATCTATTGCTATGGCGTTCTCACAGTCCTTTATTGCTTCCCTGTAGTTGCTGAGCTTACTGTGAGCAGCAGCCCTATGAAGAAGATGGTAATGAAAGGAGAGAGCTTTGTCAAAGAAACCCCCAAATCAGCAATAATAAAAAAAAAAAAAAAAAACAACAAAAAAAACAAGCTTAGACACTCACATGCTAGTCTTAACTGACTTCTTATTCACTATTTAGACAATCCTTATCTTTCCTCAATTAAGTAGAGTGAGTAAATGTTATGTGCAAAAGTGCATTGCTAGACTACGGTTTTGGAGAATGCACTCACCGCTGAGCACACAAAGGACAAATAATTCTAAGGAACAGTTTTAGATCCAGCATACGACTATGCACAAAATAAATCATAAAACCTATTACAAGAAGTGAAACTCTCAAGTAATACTTCACATAAAATCCTTGTTTAAGGAAAAGTATTGTATAAAATTGGAATTTTCCAGCAAGAAGTATAGTTTTACAGGTATTCAAAGGAATGCCGTGATTTTTTCCCTGCTTGGATTTTTAGAAGTCAACTCATGGTTGCAGGTAACTCAGAACAACATTTCTCAATAACCTCTGAATTACTAAATTAAATTGCATTTGTGTATTGGAGAAATACTGAATGATGCAAACCTTAATATAACAAGAGTAAAGACTTCGCCAAATTAAAAAGGACACATTAATAATCAAAACTTCCCCAGTTTGAAAGGTCTCAAAACACTTATTTGTTCTTTCTTGGTTTAAAACACTATAGTAGAAATAAAGTCTTTTTCTTTTTTATTAGGATTCCTTTCTCCTGTGATTACCTCCAAATTGCTTGATTTTTTCTGACTGGAATTAAAATGTCTTCAAAATGGGATTACTTACCTATTTTAAATATTTGGACTGTTTAACATTTGTCACACTCCATAGATGCCAGTGGAGATTTACAAAAAAAGGGTACAGTACTTAATCTTGCATGCGTTTGAACGGAAAATGTTTTTTCTATGTTCACAAAAAATTATATGGCCAGTTACAATTTCAAGGGCATCTCAGCTTTTTTTTTTCTCACTGCTGTGAGTAAAAAGCAAGACCATTGAAGGCAGTTTGTCTCCATAGCTCCCAGACAAGGTCAAGAAAGATAAGGCCTATATTTACGCAAGTACCACATCACCCACAAAATTCCAAGCATCTTATGTTTTCTTTTAAGTGACTACATACAATACCGTGCTGATCAACGTCAAGACTCATTGTGGTCCTCACAAATGTGATAGGGGATAATGCAACACACATAGAAAAGTATTTCTACTTTTGCCAATTACAGATTTGGTGCTTAAGCCCATTCTCCTGAGGAAACTTCCAGAGATTTTGGGAAGCTTTTCAATCTGGTCTTAATTTCCATTTTATACCTGGAGTCACTTATATGATTAGTTTTCCCGAGGAAAATAGATGATTTACACTTTGAACTGCTGTCTTTAAGTATATAAAATATTAACAAACTGCACATTTCCTTTCCCTTTATATTTGCCTCAAAACACTGAATCTTTTATTTGTATTTATCACAAACTAAACTCTGGAGTAATGGAAACACTGCTCTAAAACTAAAATAATCCCTAGGTACACTGCCACAAGGCCAGATTGACAGCATTTAAGTTAATATATCCTATATCCTTAAATTAATAATAGAGGCACTCTGGAAGCAGGCTCATTCCAGCAGGGCTCACAGATGAGACTGCCTTTGCTCTTAGGCTGGTCTTCCAGGCAGCAAAAACATCCTGCTGCAACTGGGTTAACATGCACTGCCAGGCTCATCTGCTGCTGAATCACTATGTCTTCACTATGGTGAAGAAAGGATTATGTAACGAAACCACAAAAGCAGTATTGTTATTTTTCAACAGATCACACATTAAAATGCCGAGTATTTATAAAATGCACGAAACCTCATAGCATTTCCACATTGATGATTTTTTTCCTCAGGGAAAGCCAGCACTAAGGGAGGTAGAGATGGCACCTGAGTCACTAAGAAAACCAGAAAAAAAATAGGCTTTTACTACTCTCAGCAGACTGAAAATCATAGCCTATGTTATGATTTAATATAGACAACCTAACTCACAAAACCTGATCTCAAACATTACCAGGCATTTTAAAGTCCATATTACACTTTTAAATGATACAGAGATGCTGAATGAGCTCACTTTAACTTCAGATATTCTTCAAATCTAACCAAATAAATTCTGAATAGCGAGGGCTTCCAGCCTTTCATTGCTTTGATCTACTTCAAAATTTATCTTTAAAATAATGTTACTCAAGTTCTGGAATGAAAGATGTGTATCATTTTCATTTTACCTGTTGCAGTAATAGACTGCATTGTTTGGATCCAGTTGTATAGCCCTAGTGTAACAATCCACTGCAGCACCATAATTTTCTTCTTTCATATGATTATTACCTGAAATAATTATAAAAAGCTCTTAAATAGTTAGAAGATACAGTGCTCTGAATGAAAGAAATAGAGCAGCTACCTTACAGCATCTATATAAGGGAATTATGACTGCCCTTTTTTGAGATACATTCTTTTGAACAGAACTGGCAGGGAATAATGAAATAAAAATACACTATGTCTGTAAAGTTTATTATGTACATAGTAGTCCACCACATAAACCATTCTCTTCTCATCTTCGTATTTCACACTTTCCAGTTAGTTTCTGCTGTTAAGCAAAGATCACTTCATTGAGAAGTGTAATTTTAATTGCAGTTCCACTCTAATATAGACTTAGTTGTAACTGTCTTGCAAGCCTCATAATCCAGCAGGCTACATTAATTTCGTAATTTCATTTTCTTATATGTCCCAAAAACTTGCTTGTATCTATGTAATATGAAAAATCAAACAAATCAAAACTAAGCACATAGGTCCCACTTTTGTGATACCATGTAAGGAATTCAATAAGATAATGAGAAGTATGTATAGCACAAGCAATCTAAAATGACTCACATTTCCTATTTTTTAAGTCCATTGGAAAACAAAACCCAGAAACATTTATATAACTTCTATACAGACAGAAAATTCTCGAGTAAGCTCTTTCAAAACAAAAGACACTTTACACATTCTTTTGTCCCCAACACAGGTCAGTCTTTCTAGTTTCTGTCTTTCCTGATGCCATAAGAGTAAAGAAAAAATCCTAGTTCAGAGTGCCCCGGTTTATGATTGTCCCTGGGTCCTGCAGTTATCAATGTTTGGCCTGCTAGATCCTACAGAAGCCTGGGTTTCCCAGAAATGTCAGGAAATTGCCAAGAAAACTGTAGACTTCCACTGACTTACTTGTATTTTGGCAAAATATTCAAATCTTATCCTAAAACAAACAGGAGAAGGGACAGGTCAGATTACTACTGATGTAGATAACTGCAAAAGCAAAGCCTGGAAAAGTTCAGTCAGTGCAACTGAGCCTCTGACAGAAAGCAAAAGACTGTGGAGCAAGCAGTCCTAAGTGTTTGTACTAACTGAAAACAACTGTACTTGAGTTTCTTTTTAAAGATGGAGAACTGAATAAACAAAACCATATTGAAATAACTAAGTATCATCAAGGTAGTACAAAAGTACCTCTTCCCAATAGTGCTATACTTACTGTAACTATATTCACCAATCCTTTAGCAAGAAGGCAAACAAACTGTAATTGCACGTATACCTTCCAAACACATACAGAATGTAACAATATCTTTCTAATTTCTAGAGGCCCACTATCTACACAGCTTTGCTTTGTTCTCAATCCTGTATACTAAATCCTGTTGTCAAATATTTGCAAGTTAGCTGCACTCAACAAGATTGCAACAGCTAATGTTCCTTTAAAACAAAACTGCCATCAATGACCATGAACATTAGAATTTATGATACTGCTCTGAGCCAAAGATGACCTGGGGTACAGGGCTAAGTTTGAGCAAATATCAGAGCATACTTCTCTTGCTCGCTCTCTCTCCAGCTACAACTTGGCTAAAGGAAAACATAAAAATAGCTAGATCTACTAACTGCTAAGATAAGGAAAAGCAAATGTATCATTGTATTTTAACATCATACAAAAACTCTTAAGACCAAAAAACTCCACTAATGGTTATACTTTTTGAACATGTGTCCTTTATAGCGAAAATACTACTTATTATAATTTAATATTGCTGTGGTAATACACAGATCTTTTTAGGATGAGGCCACCATTACACTATACAAACCTGCACAATCTGTGCTCTTACACAGCTTACATTAAGTCAAAGTGTCAAGTGATAGACAAGTGTAAGCAAGTAAATTCAAGTATTATTTTTTTTAATTTGTATTTATAAATTACTTTCTGCTTTTCTAATGGCCAAGAAAGACAATTTCGCTACCTGATTTTGTTTCGCTATTCATTAGTCAATTTCTACAAGTATTAGGGCTGAGTTTTCAGAGCAGAGGAGGAGCAGGCTGGTGGCCACAAAGATGAGGGAAGTTATTCCATAATGACATACAGATAGAAATGAGGAAATCAGAGTTATAGAATTACAGTATTATAGAAGATACAGGTCAAATAGACTTCCCCAAGTCACCTTGTTCATCTCCATAATTCAGGGCAAAAAAGCATAATAGCAGTCAATATGCATATGAAAATGTGGAGGATTAACATAACACTTCAGCATTAGAAAGCAGTAAGTTTTAATTTTATTATGGGAAATTAACCAGAGGCATTTCAAGCAGTTCCAAACTGCTTACTAATGCCCCTGACAGCTGACACTTGAAATGGTCCTTCATTAAAGTTTAGACTCTTTCCACTTTTTTCAGCAGAGCCATGGAATTCCTTTTCTAAAACCATACACAGACACGGATTTAAAACAGCTGTAACGCTCACATCTGGAAAGTGCTGGCTATCCCTACAGTCCAATGACCATACTGAGAGCTACAAGTGTTCTTCACTTTCCATGAGTTGACAGAAACAGATAGCAAAATGAAAAGCCAAGATGTACCACAGGTATGTTATGACTTACAAACTAAGTTTCGCTTGTGACCTGACCATGTTTGAGCTCTTTACCCTTAGAATTTAAGAGCTAATGAGCAACTTCAAGAATTACGAAAACTTACTTTCAGAGCAAGTAATGGACTGCATTCATGACTACAGATGACCAATTTTAAGATAAGACAGACATGGAACTCATTTTACTCACTGTCAAAAACAGTAGAATTTTTTCCACATTATTGTCCTGCAACTTTTGAGGGAGTTACATCTGCTTTGTAATAAGATGTTTACTTTTTTTTTCTATAAAACTCAACTGCCTGAAAATTCAACAGGTTATTAAAAATGTAATTTATAAAGCATCAATCCATAACAATTCCTGACACTTTTCACTGCTACATGTTTTTTCCCTCTCCCCCTTCTTTTTGAAGGGAAATAACATAGACGTTTTCTTAGGTTCTATTAGTAAAGTCTTCTATGGTACAGCTGCTTTTCCTCAGAGAACAGCAATAACAGCTGTCAAAGGGGAAATAAACAACTGGCTTGTCTGCAATTATAAAGCACACAAATGATGTCACATATGTGAAATACTAGCCCCAGTAACTTCACAAGAATTTTTCCATTGGCATAAGCTTTTACCATCACCTAACCATTTCAAAGTAAGTAGAAACTTGTATAAAAATTCCATGGACAAACAGAGAAATCTAGAATATGCCAAAAAATACCTGTTCAGTCTTTAAAGCTTCTGCTACTCAGGAACACTGCCAACTTCACATGTTATCCCTTAATTTTTAAGCAACCTCCAGAGTAGGAGGTTGCTTAAAAATATAAACAATATTTTCTTTGCTCCCAGATGAAGCAAATCAATTAGACCTCTTACAACATAAGTCACCAGAGAATATAAGCTGAAGTTTTTTTGTGGGGTGTGTGTTGCCCAGCTGCTACACTATCATTATCCATGATAACCCAAAAACCTAATAGGAGCGTAAGACATTTTATTTCTATGTTTATTACAAACCTTCATCTTTCAGTTGGTCAGCCTTTACAACATTCTCTGGTAAAGAACCTGAGAGAGGCAGCATGTCATTCTGTATGGGACAAAAAAAAAAAAAAGTTTTTTTTTCATTAAAATATAAACCCCAATTTTATTAAAAATTTCTTTATCCTGGGCAGCACTGTGTCAACAATCAGATTTTCTGTAGTGTACAGGAAGTGTGAAAGAATTAAACATCACTAACACATCCTTAGAAGAAAAAGCTTGCTTTCTGCTACTGAAAAAACCTTATGGCTCACCACATGTTTTAAGGAAGTCAAGGGGAAGATAGCTGATACTTCTTCAGTCTTGTTTGTTTAACTTTGACTTTCCTGTTTACCATTCTGATGGTTTTTGCACTTGGGATCTCAGATAATATGTATTATTAGTAAACACTTCAGAAGTTCCCATTTTAAGGTTAGTGTTCAAAATGGAGCAATTACATTATTTCCAGAAAGGAGTGAGAAGCATCAAACTACAAATGACACACATCAGATACTTATCTCTGGGAACTGCAAAATGCTCAACTGAAGGATAAAAACCTTGAAGTGAGAATGAGACATCCACTGTTGATTAATTTTCTGGAATTGTCCTTGCCTAGCTGAAATTAATTCCTCCCACTGCCCCAAAAGATTCTCATAATGCTAGCCTTTTACAGAAATTCAACTTTTTCATGTTTTCCTTTAAGTTATCACATCATTTTGACCTATAGAGCACTTAAAGATTGTGTATACAACATGAAACCTTAGCACATATTGGCAGAGTAACTCTAGAATCTAAATGAAACTCTTACCTTGTGAATAGAGTTTGTGAACATTTCTATCAAATGCTGTGGGGGTGCAAGATGAGTATCTTCCAGGCTAATCTTAAACACAGTCTCCAGACACTGAATTGCAACTTAAAAGAAAAAAAAATCACCAGTTTCTCAATAGAAGCATAACTTTACTATTTATTTATAAAGCAGTGACTTACTTCCCTATTCAGCTAGTAAAAGCAGCTCTTTGGAATAAATCATAAAATAGAGAGGCTACCTGATCCCCATAGAATTGGCTTGCTGAAAAACATCTAAGATATACACAATCCATAGATAGTTTGGCCATTATTTTGCAAGCAATTAAAAAATTTCATTTCGGTTCCTTGAGTCACTTAAAGCCTTTTTTTAAAATGTAAAAAAAAAAAAGCATTTAACAAAAGCACAAAACTCATAATACAACTATGCATGTCCATGTGCCACACACCCCACCTCAAAAGATCACAACTACCATATATCTGAGTTGCATAACAGCTGGAAGGAAACTGCTCACCTTTACTGTAAAGAATAAAGGCAAGATACTTGTTAATCTTATTTTTTTTGGTAACAAAATATATTCATTTGAAGACACTGTTTATAAATAAAATGCTGCAATAATCACAAACTTTATTCTATTAAAAAATATATCTGCAATATCCTTTCACGTGTTCAGTTGTGTAAGGATTAAATGGCCCTCCCAAATTTGCAATAATGCAAACACACAGTAATTAATTCTAAAAAAAGGAGAGCCATATACCTAACTAAAGTTTTAAATGTGCTCACATATTTTTAGGCAAAAGAAGATCAACAGCAATTACTGTACACAAGTCTGAAGATGTATATATATATATATATTCCATTATTAACACTACTGTGACTTATATAATTATTTTCCCTATATACTTAAGAATCTAGTAGAACGTTTTTCTTAAGGTATATCATCTAAATATTTTAGAATTAAAAGTGAAGAAGAACAAAGAAATATTTTGAACAGAAAAACAGCCTTTTAAAGTCAAGATATACAAAACAGACAACCAGAAGTACCTGAATTCAAATCAGGTATCAGTATAAACAGATTCTTAGTATTTAAATTGACTTTCAGGCCAATGTTAATATAAAAATATAGTCTGAATTCTTATTTGCATTATAATGAACCTGAATACTAACCCAAAACTAGTAAAGTAAAACTCCTGAAAGTTAACAACAGTAAGGCCAGTTTGAGGAGCCTGTTTTCTATGTCACAGCAGGCAGAAAGGGTGGGGGAAGTAGATCTGTGAAATAGATAGTAAATCCTGTAAAATGTAATTTTTTTTTTAAGTGGTAACATACAATTATTCACAAAAAAGTAAATTAATGTAAAAAGTTAAAGCTGATAACATGTAACAATTGAACACAAAATAACACTGCTAAATATGCATGCAAGTTGCCCCTACAACATATTCCTAAAAATTTATCAATTTTTCAGGTTCTAAAATACCCACTAAGAGTGCTGAAGAAATTGTGTTAAACTTCTTTGTCTCCCTCTATGTAGAAAAATTTAGTTCTTGTAAAGTGAACACTGATAAATGCTGGATTCTGAATTACACATATTAATAGTACTTATTACCAGGTCTATCAGAAAATCAGTGGAATTACACATTTCTTTTTTCCTTATATGACTTAATAGGAAGCCTCTTGCAATATTTTACTTATTGGTTTTCCCCACCAACTTTTTTTTATCTAAAGGCACTCCCTTTTCTGAACGTCTTACATAATCTGTAGTTTTGCATAAATTTAAAATACAACCTCCCCCTTATCTTTCTCAAAGCATTAAGTCTGTGACACCAAATCTCTATGATATAGGAGTTTTGGAAAATACAGCAGTGTAAATTACGCCTAAATGACAGTTCTTAGTACTATTATTCTGCATTTCCATTAAATAATCAAGTTTTTATCATGAATTCCCACATTTCTCCTTTATGTGAAAAATGGAATTTTTATTCCTTCTAATCTATCTTTCGTGTGTATAATAAAATTAGGAGCTCTTATGGGATGAATCTATAGGTTAGAATAATAACCACTGGTTAACATTCAAGCCAACAACAGAAACCCACATAAAAATAAGCACTGCCAAAACAGAAACTTTTCCAAATCAGAGGGTGTAATAGATTGTGACAATATAAATAGCTACTCTGATTTAATGTTACATAAAAACCTGACCCCACTAAAGTCAAAGGAGTGAAGACTTCTTTTCACTAGAGAAGTACCTCAGGAGGTCATGCTGCCATCATCTTACTATCCCATTATCAAAACAAGCACCATCCACTGCTGCAAGCTCAATATTATCAGTGAATTGTAAAGATTTGATCACTGTGTAAGCTATTAATCTTCTCTGATTTCAAAGGCCAAAGCTATCTGATCTCCTGATCAGCTCCACCATCACACACACACTTTCAGAAGCCTCAGCTTGAACTGACCACCTTGAAAATCCTTACAGGTCCCTGCTGAACAGCTGGGACTTACACCCACTATCTGACAATAGGAGCAACTGGGTTATGCTGGAGCCTAGCTCTGTATTCCCAGTGCCACAGAGCTCCAGGATTTTCTGCCACCCTAACACAAATTGCAAGCAACATGAAGGCATAAGAGCCAACATGCAGGCTGTTGACTGCTGAATAACGAGCACTGGGCCCCTTTACTACTCAATACCATCTTGCTTCGTCTAGTATATAACCTTCCCTGTGTCAAGTATTATATGCATCACCTGCCTTCCTATTTTGGAAACACTGCCTTAGAGAAATTACTTGTGGTACACCAATCATAGAGGTAAGAAAAAAAAAGATCACAGCCTTGTGCATGTTGTAGAGACTTTTCTTTAATGCCACAGAAATAGGTGCTATGAAAGAAAGAAGGGAGGGGATGAAGGGAGGAATAACTGCCACTTAAACACAGTCTAAAATATAACTTAGATGAAGTGAAATATTTAGATCATACAAAAGAGTTGAGCACTAACCACCAAGAGGCCTATATCACTGTTCTAGATCCTAGTGGAGTATGTTTCTCTGGTCTTCCTTCCAACTACTCTGCTTCTCAAATAAGGCATTTTTATTCATCAAGCAAGTACAAAATTCCTTGAGGAAATTTACACTATCACTGACATCCCTATATAATTCACATATGCAGAATGAAGATTATCAACAAAAATGGAGTGTGAATACATCCTAGATTGTATTTTCAGAAGGTCTCAATTTTATTTGCAATCTTCTAGCTCTTTTTGTTGTTTTGTGGGAAATGGGAACTGTTGGACTTACTTCTTGGCACAGTCACTTAATCATTCAGTGTTTTATCTTTTCACAGCCATCAAGTAAGTACATAAGATACTGATAAAAACTATCAGTCAAGATTTTGATCCCTTATGTCTCCATCTAACATTAAATACTTTAATGGGTAGGACTTGGGCTACTGCTGCTCTACATGCACTGAAGATGTTTTGCACAACTGAGTCAATTTTTCAGAATGCCCACCTCCTACCCTCTAACACATAGCATATGGTACTGTGCTTGTGGCAGCATAGAGCTCTAAAATTAGGATTTCAGATCTGTATTAAAATGCTAAATTTTGCATCAGTATTTAAGCACAACTGAGGTTTTATAAGATTTTTTATTTAGAAAACTGAATCTTAAAAGTTGATTCCTTCATATAGACATTGGCTAAAGTTATGTTATTAGGTAAAATTTCAATCATAACCCAATGTTTATCAGTTTCATTATAAAAACAAAAGGAATATTCTTCATCTCTCATTATATATGATCTCCAAAAACATTGTTTTCTTTCATCAGATGAAGATCATCATAACCTGATACAGGTTAAATTAATTTGATGGCTACTACTTTTCAAAGGTACAAAATGCTGCAGATCATTATATAAAACCAAATCTTTTACCTTTGATTCTTTTGGAACTATCCTTTAAATAGAATGACACAAAGGTTTCTTTCTTATTTACACTGGTGAACAATAACAACACTGTAAAACTGATAAACATGAGAATGAACCACATCGAGGTTTATCTTTTAAGTTTACACTTCTGAGAAGAAGGACTCGTTTTGTATCTCAGCAAAGTCTCTCCACACCTCAGATTTCACAGAATTTAGTAATCATCTACTGCCTGCAATTACTTACTGTATTGCTAGTTCTAGCTCCCTTTTACATCCAAATTCCTCCTCTGGTTGAGTGACACAACCAAAGGCTGCTTGAAACAGCGCAGAGGTCTTTTAAAAAAATTGCTATGAAAGCTCATTGTAGAATTGACTTTATTCTTTCCTTTCTTAATTCCAAATTGTGATTCCACCTGACATGAAGTCTCCAAGACTTAGGGAAAAGGGCACTGTGAAGGAGGAAGGCAGATACCATGAAGTTACAAAAACTTTATGACTGTCTGTCAGTAAAGAAATAGACACAGAAGGCTATCTGTCTCCAGCTATTTATGCAGATAGATGAACTTGGGTGTATAACAGAAGTCATACCATACTGAAAATACTTGCTACCATGTACTCTTTGGAACCACTACTGAAGTGAAAAAAAAACCACCTCAAAGCATTTATTTTATTTTCCATGTTCTCAGGATGTCTTAGCCTTCCCTTCTAAATTACATGGAATTCTTGCAAGTACAAAAAAGGAGTTTTTCCCATAAATCAAACCCAATATATGATAATTGTTTTACTTCCTCAGTGGCAAGCAGAGCTACTAAGAGATATAAAATGCAGAAAGAAACCAAATATAAAAGAGAAAAATGATCATCAGGCAAACATTTGTGGCACATATACGCAAGTTATTACTAGGGTCTGATTACAGCACCGCTTAACTTAGAATCCAGAACTACTGAGGTTAGAAAAGACCTCTAAAATTGATGTGATTCAAAGTATCTGTTTCTCAAAATTAAGGTAGTACACATGTGACTTTAGAATATTTTTTAAATTGAAGATGCTTAAAATTAATAATCTCAGAAACATTAAGATAATGATCTTATTCGCAGATAATATTTGGTGGCAGTTTCAGTTACGTCACTCCAGTTACTTTTGTGATATTATATATAAGGCAATGCAACACCTGTGAGATATTATACATACATATATACACACATATACATATATGTGTGTATATGTATATTAGCATCTTTATCACTTACCTTCCAAGCTTTCTTGTTCATCTGGAGTAAAAGTATCCATCTGACTCTGCTCTCTCAAGAAATGGATGACTGCATAAACCAAGCGCTTGACTGATGACATACTGAAATTGATTCAGTTTCTCCTATGTCTTAAAAACAACAGGATCTCTTATTTCAGAAAATTTATTCCTACGGTATTCCAGTCTCCTAGTGACCTCAGTAAGAAGTACATACAATACACAAAACCTTATCCTTCACCAAAAGCCGAATAAAACAATATAACAATTTCTTGTTTCTTGAAAAAAGAAATAAAATTGTATGGAGTAGGGAAAACTGCTACAATAATCTAATCTAACTATCATCAGGAAAGTTGAGTCAGAATCACAGAAGGGACCTACAAAGATAATCAAGTCCAACTCTCAAGTGAATGGCCCATCACCAAGGCTAAATTAATTTAGCAGCTTATTTTTCATTTATAGGGAGTTCTTCTATGGTTTTACTTTTATTTCTGAGACGTGCACTTGCAAGAAGGAGCACATGCTGAGGTCAAAACCAATTAAAAAGCCACAGTGATAAATCTAATGACATATAGAAACACACTTCAATAAAAGGTGTTCCTTTTCTGGTGTGACATGAGTGTTATACTTTAATTAAAAATGCTCTATGGTGTGACATGGTGTTATACTTAAATAAAAGGTGTTCGTTCTTTGGTGTGACATGGGTGTTATACTTTAATAAAAGACGTTCTATGGTGTGACATGGTGTTATACTTGAATAAAAGGTGTTCGTTCTTTGGTGTGACATGGGTGTTATACTTTAATAAAAGATGTTCTATGGTGTGACATGGTGCTGCAGAACAGTTCATTATCACTTCGGACAAAGAAGTGGAACACTGTGACCTCAGTACACACTTGTGATTAGAGACACTACTGGCTCAGTCTGATTTCCATTCAGCAGCAGCTGGGAGTTACATAACCTGGAGGACAATTTTAGTTACAACTTTCCAAGTTATTTTTCCTTTAACCCTTTTGATTTGAAAGGGTACAATCTTGTCCAGCTCTTGGGGCAAAGCAGGTTTAAAAAGGAGCATTAAATGAATGGCAAGACCAGGGTCAGCCCGCAGCTACATTATTTTCTCCCCACAGCGCGCGACCGAACCGGTGTGCGGACAAACCCCCGCCACGCAAACCCCGCCGTGGGGACGGGGAGAGCCGGGAGGGGCAGTGGAGCACAGCCGGGGGCACCGGGGCTCCCGGATCAGCTCCCCCGGCAGGGACAGTGCAGTACCCGCGCTCGGGCGCGCCCCCGCGGGCTCGAAGGGGGGCCGCGCTCCCGCCCCCCGCCCACCTCCGCGTCCTCCCCCGGCCCAGGGCCGCTCGCTCGGGCCCCAAGTACAGCCCTACACCGCCCGCGGGCCCCTCCCGGCACCGCGGGGACCGCGGCCGCGCCGCCTAAGGTCCGATCTTCCGCGCCGCCCCCGGGCTCTGTGCACCGGGGGTGCGGGGAGGCGGCGCGGAGCCACTTCGCAGGCCCCTCGCCCTCGCGGGAAGGGGACATCGCTCTTACCGTGCGAGAGGTGGCGAGTCCGCGCCGCCGGCGACTGGGAGCGAGCAGGGACGCGGAGCCGGAGGAGGCGGTGTCGGAAGCGGATGCGCAGGGCGGCGGAGGAGCAGGGCTGAGCGCTGCGCTCTCGGGTGTACAGAGGGCGGGGTGGTGGCGGGAGTGAAGCCGGTCCTTGTGCCTCCTGTGTTTCTTCTTCCTCCTGTGTTTCTTCCTCCCCTGCCCTTCTTCCTCCTCCTGTCCGTCCTTCCTTCTCCTCTCCTCCAGTCCTTCCTACTCCTAGTCCTTCCTCCTCTTCCTCTGCTCCTCCTCCGCTCCTCCTCCGCTCCTCCTCCCTTCCTCCTCCCTTCTCCGCGAGTCCTCCTCCCCGTGTCTTCCTCCTCCGCCGCCCTTGCGCCGCCCTGCCCATGCTGTGGCTGTGCGCGGGCACGGTTCGCAGGTAGGGGCGCAGGGAGGGTGGTGCCGCGGCATCCGGGACGGGGGGCGGTCTCCGGAGGGAGTGGGGGTCGCCTGGCCGGACTGGAAGCCATGGGAACGCGGAGCTGCCCGCGGCTGACGGGACATCCCCGTCCCCGCCCGGGAAGCCGGGCCTGACCCCCGGGCCGGGGGGAGCCGCAGGGGAGCGGGCGGGGGGCTGAGGGGGGACGGGACGCACCCCGGGGGGCCGAGCAGACAATGGGGCAGGAAACCTGTGGGGTTCATTGCCTCAGTTCCTGGCGCATTTCCCGCTGTCCGCCCTCTCTGGCGTGAGCTCCGTCCTGTAGGGCATCTAGGTGGGCAGGGCGGTGAGACGAAGTGTCCGTCTGGTAATCGTTGCACTGAGTGCCACTCGTACTGCAGGAGTAATGGGCAGGAAGACAATGGAGGGAAAGAGAGCGCTCTAGCAACGGGACTGCAGCAAGGTGTGTCTAAAGAGAGACTGGCAGGGTGTTCATAGTAGCTCTGTAGAAAGATATATCACTATTACACGTTGTATGAAGGGTGAGACGAGTACCAGTATGCTATCGAAAGGCTTTAAAATAGGGCATTACTTATCTTGCTCTGTAATGAACACGAACTCTAAATGGACACCAGAAAAGCAGCGTGGAAGAAGCTTATAGTCAGTTCTAGGTGAACCAGAGAAATGAGCATCATTGCTTTTACTCTCGCCTCTCAATTTCTCCAAAAGACCAGATTTGATAGGAAAAATTGAAGTAATGTGAATATGTTGTGGTAATGAGAATGGAACTGAATTTGAGTGTAAAAGGAAAAAGATGGTTACCTCGTGAGGACTTTTGAGAAATGATAGTTGTGTAGTTACTGCACAAAATGTACTGGTTTTGTTGTATTTCGCAGCTTTTCTTCACATCAAATGAGGATTGAGGGGTATTAGCAGAGAGAAAGTAAGATCCAGAATATTTTTTTTCATAAGGCTTCTGCTATTGAAAATTGATTGACCTATTTTCTGATGCTGAATAAAATGCACATCTATGTTCTTTTCCTAATACACGTTCACATTCCTTTTTCTGTATAATCATTTTCACTGTTTTCCATATTTTGTGACTATCTTTGTTTGCCCTACAGATTTTTTTCATCAAAAGAAGGCAAGGAAAGGAAAAAGAGTATGGAATTTTGTTTTCTTTAGATAAAAAATTAAAAGGTCTATCTCTGTTGGCGGTTTGCATTTGGACATTGAAGGTATCTCCTTTTTAAGTAGAAATAAGTGTAGTGAGGAATAATTGCTCCACTTTGTTAATTGTGATTTTTTTTCTCCAAGTCATTATTTCAGTTTGCCCAAATAATTGTTTCACAAAAGAGAGTATTCTTGAATAAATAGTGATCTCTAACTTTCAAAAGTTAAGGAATTGGTCACAGAAATGTCAAATAGCAAAGATTCTCAGCTTCTATTTTCCCAAGGGCACCTTCATGTGAGATAAAAATGATAGTTCTTAGCAAGTTTCAAGTATCATTCCTTACATTAAGTAAAATTATGTTAAGGTTTGGTTCTTTTGATTAAAATAGACAGATTTTGGGAAGGAGGCTTTTCCCAGTTAAATATTCTTCCTATCGGAATCCAAAAGATTCAAAGTTTTATATTCAGTTCAATAAAATGCATGGGAAAAGCCAATCTGGGTTACCTAAGTAAGCACAGTAGTCTGTTTACTTTATGAGAATACTCCTAGAAATAGAAAAAAAGAATCTGAATAAAAATAGATGCACTGATTTAAATAATTTCAGTGTCCTAAAATCATCCTCTAGGATTTGTGAATTCTGGAGCATTGCTTTGAAAAAATTTGCTTTTGAATTGGAAAATACATATACATGTACTCTGGAAAAACTGGAATTTATATTTAAGATCTAATTTTAGATTTCCATCACTGTAAAAAATTTCTGAACAATGGCATTTTTCTTGATGAGGAAGAAAATGAGCAAGAAGCAGAGGCTGGGAAGAGGCAGAAAAAGAAATTACATTAGAGGGTAAAGAAATAGGAAGAACTTTTACAGTAATTTTCTTATTTCATACTTGCCATATAGTGTATCTCTATGTTTTTATTGAAGTATCAGGTCCAGCACCTCGGCAATGGCAAAGACCAGACAGGACACTTGGAGCATTTTTTTCCTTTCCATGGGTTCCATGGACTGCACAACCTCTTCTGTGTATTGCAGCAGTGATTTTTCCTGTAGTCAAAAGCAACAGTTACCACTTTTCTAACCACAGCAGGCTACAAAAGAGCAATTTATCTATTAGACAGAGTTTGCAGAAAGTAATTATTTCCTTGGACTGGCTGAGACAAATGTGTTGAGCCCATAAACATTTTGTGGACTGAATTTAATCCATGGAGAACCAGTAAGCAATGTGGTTAATGTCTTTTAAGGACATACCTTTGTCATGTTCTGTCATTCTCTCTATAAAGGAAGAAGTGCCTGACTTGGAAAGATTTCTTTTAAATAGTTTGGGTTAGTTCAAAAGTCCAAGCTTTCTTCTGTAGGAGTCAGGATCAGGTCGCTCAGAAAGCATAGAAGATACAATGAACATTCAGTACTATCTTTTCAGAACAGTCTAGGAATTGCAGACTCCCTAACACAAAACCAGTTCTCAGATATAATCTCTTGTACAAAAATTTGTCCAGTAATATCTTTTTATATTGAAACTGCCTCCTAAAACTGTGTTTGATCTCTTACTGAGTTATGTTGGAAGTGACAGGAAAAAAAATTGATTCCTGTCCATTCTCTCCATCCTTTTCATTATCATATAAATCTCTCAAGTAGTTCCTCTATTGCACTTTTTTCTCTGTTTGTTTTTTTTTTTTTTTTGTCTCCTCTGAAGAATCCCAGTCTAGTTGTTCTTTGAGTGGAATATATTGCTCACTGCAGGTAATTGTTATTCTTAGTTATTATCACTTGGTAGAACAGATAAAGGTTTTGGCAGGTGGGAGAACAGAAGACGAGACATTTATCTGTTGAGGGATCAGAAATGCTTGTGGTATAATGAATTTTTGCATTTTGTTCTGTTCCACCTCTACTAAATCCTGTCATTTTGTTCTTTGCAGATACTTCTTGGTTGATGTTTTTGTTAAACTGTTATGTCTCCAGAGTGACTAGATCCAAAGTGTGTGTTATTTCACATTTATTAAGACTGAAATTCACTTTGTTAATGGTTTTAAACTTTTCTGCATAGCGACATTGTTTTTCATCTTTTTGTTGCTGCCTTTAGTACACTGCATTGTCATGAGTAAATTATCTTCAGTAAATTTTGTCATGTCATTAATCGCAGCTTTTTGTAGATGAGGTATAAATATCTGAAAAAATACAAAACCCCCAATATGGAACCCTGCAGGGCGCCACTAGTCACCTAAATCCATTCAGAACAATGAGCAGCCATTTTTAACAGCCTAGTTTTTAACCAGTTTTCTGTAACAGAACCTCCCTTCTCATCTCACAGCAGCACGGTTTCTTTGGGACCTTTTGGCCACCAGTCTTTGGAAATAAAATAGATTATATTAAGTGATCTCTGTTGATTGTGATTCCTTTGAAGAATTCCAATAGATTTGTGAGTCTAAATTTGTAGAGGAGGCTGTTTTTCAGTACATGTTATCTGTGTTTTGATTAGGGAAGATGAGGATGGTGGTAATTGTACTTGTTTCTGAGCAAAATATGATACAGCGTCTGTATTATTCCTGCCATCTCTAAGAGAAGCTCCATCTTTAACAGAGATCTTTTTTATTTCTACATAGAATGTTAAATGAACAAAGTTCTTGCCATACTTATACTGGAACCTTTACGTAACCTGTAGCTATCCTGGGAAGCACTCAGTGTTACTAAATCACTGTTCACTCAAAAGCCAGAGTGAACCTAATTTGTGGTTTTGAGCAGGCTGTTTGGGACTTTGCAAGCAATGAAATGGACCTGAGGCATTGTTTCACAAGGTCTCTGGTTTAAAATGGTAAGGAAGTAAGTGAGATTAGGTCATCACCTGCTGTGAAGACATAGAGTTTTCCAGCAAACTGGTGATGATAGGAGAACATTTGTATTTCTTTGACTGCATGAGACTTAAGATTGATGGGAAATCAAAGGGTATCTCCATGGTAGACTGAACTGATTAACAGTAGATGTAAATCAAAAAACCTTTTGTGTTTACAAACCCTCAATAGTTTTCTTTGTCCTGCAGCAACACTTCTTTTTCCAGTGGAGTCAACAAGGTGTTTCTTGTGCATTAGCTGATTGCATTCAAGTAGTGAACTATCCTAGCAGTAAGCGTGCGGTGTTTGCACTAAACAACATGCACTTTACCTGCTGTTTGTATTGCTGGCATTGTGAAAATCTGTGTTTATGCAGCAGCACCTGAGGGAGCTGTACAGCCTTAAAAGCAATTTTTTTCCTGCTGTGTTTCCACAGATTGCCTGATAGTAGAACCAAATAATAAGACAACCCTAATGAATGCCTTCTGCCTCAGACTCACTACAGTACAATTCTTGTCTGCAGGCAGGTTTTGATAAGTCAGATTCCTTCCTAAGATCCTTTAAGGAAGTTGCTGTGATTGAGGTTTGCTGTGACACAGAATGCATTCAGTTCACAGAATGAGTGTGAAACCTGGTGTACTGGTAGTAGTAATTTTGGGTTGTTTTTTTTTTTCTTTTTTTGGGGTATGGTTATTTGGTTTGGTGTTTTTTTGTGGATTTTTGGTGTTTGGTTCTGGTTGGTTGGGGTTTGGGTTTTTTGGTTGGTTGGTTTGGTTTTTCTTCTTTTTGTTTGTTTGTTGGTTGGTTGGTTTGGTTTGGTTTGGTTTGGGGGTTTTTGTTTCAGTTTGGGTTTTTTTTCCCTTAGAAACAATGGATAACATAATTTTAGAGGTCAGACAATTTGCTGAAACTGTGCCTTGACACTTCTGTGTGTTCCACTACAGACTATTGTGTTGAAAGCACCTTCTCATATGAAAATCAATCAGACCAGCTTCCAAAT